TTGGGATCTCACTGGGCGCTCAAGCTGGTGTTTGACCCAGCCACGTAAATGGCTTGAAAGCTGCTTCCCCCTCATTTTCTTTTAAATGGGCTGCGTTTCAACATGGAATTCTTGAGCAGTAAATGGTAATTTAGTGCTTATTATAATATTCATTAAGAGCTGACTTCTGCAGCAGCATTATAGCAAATACTAATTATTAGAAATTAAGGTGACAGGAGGGAATAACATTCTGAGTGGGATAAGTAGGAGTAATAACAGCCCCGGAGGGATAAGCGAGACAGAGCAGCGGGAGGATTCCCATCCTGTAGGGACAAGAGGTAACAACAGCCCAGCAGCAGGCACATGGGTGAGGGCACACAGCGAGGGTACCAGCTCCAAAGGCTCAATCCTGCCCTGTCATTATTTCTCTAGTTCATTGGCTCAGTTTATTATTCTTTCCCTTTTCAGGCTGAAGTTAAACTTCCCGCAGTGATTTCCCACAAGCAGTGGGCAGATGCTTCTGCCAGGCCTGATGTTAGATGTGTGTCCTTACACGCTGCAGGTTTGGGGGCTGGTAACCAGTTGCTACCTTTGCTTTGGGTGGTGGGTTTGAAACAGAAGCCTGAGCCCTTATAGCCAAGGCAGAGCTAAACCAGCTTCTGAACCATGATTTGCCCGGTTTATGGCTCCACACCATGCACAGCTGCCTCCAAGGGCTTCCCTCTGGCAGAGGTTGGGTTGGTCACACTCCCTCTTTCCTATGATTTAATTATGGGGAGGGAACAAAGATTTTACATGTGAAAGTGATCCCTTTCTAGCCAAACATTTCCATGTTCTTCCTTCTCCTTCAGTAGGAAAAAGCCATTTACTGCGATCTTTCCTACAGCAGTGTCCAGGGAGGTCCAGCAAACGGGGCCAGGAGGCATCAGCAACAGAGCCCTGACGGAGTTTCTTCGCTTGAGTAAATCAATGCTTTGTCACTAATGTGACCTGAAAGCCCATTTTCTGTGCCCCATTTGTTTTAATGCTGGAGCTGGGGCACGGGGGGAGGCAGCACCAGGGCAGCTTTCCATAAATCCCACCAAGGCACTCGGAGCTCTCTCCCATCCGGTGTGTGATGTGCAAACACATTAAGGGAAGAGTGCACAGCAACCGGGGTAACTCGCATAGCCCACGGTGCATCGCAGTGTCCCTGCCTGTCAGTCTCTGTGGTTTATGGCAGGGAGGTTTCTTAGGGCTGTTTTGGGAAGGGGGATGCTCTTGCTTAGTCTGGGCCAGCCAAAATCCCTGTGAAAGGACTTTCCTTGGCATAACAGGGGATTTTTTTATCATTCAAATGAGATGTTGTTGTGTGAGCATCCCCTCCCTGCCCCTTTGATCCCTTGAGCCCTGCTGTAGGGTGAGGATAGGGAAAGGGATGGGGCCAGCAGGCCAAACACCTGAGGGAGGGAGCTGACTCACGGAAGCTAGAGGTGAAGCAATTAAAACCTGTGGCTGCCACCAGCGTTTCCTGTCTGTAATTAAAGCTTTTAATGAGGAGGCATATGGTACCCCCCCCCCCCCAACCTGCAAGGCCCCAGGCTGGCACTTGGATGGGTGTGGGTTTATTAACAGCTGCTAATTGCATCCTCATTCCGTGAATACATTGAGGGGGCTGCACTGCCCGGCCCCCAGGGCTCCCATTGGCTGTGAATGATGCCAAAGCCAATCTTCATTGCAACTATTGTTTCCTTCTTGCATTGGGAACTAAAGCCCCCGGCGTTTGCAGGGCTTTTGGGGGGCACCACCATGCCTGGGATGTGGTTCTGGCTCCTTTCCCACTGCTGAACACATCATAGTCCCAGTGGCCACAGAGGGACTCGAAGCCTTTCCCCATCCTGATGGTGTATCCAGCTGCTGGGACATCCCCAACTCTCCTGCATGACCCAGACCAGGAATGTGTGTTATCCTGGGAAGAAATACAGAGACTTTGTTCCCCTTGGACCTCAGCTCTGCCGCTGGAGTGCTTGTTGGACTATGGAGCAGCCACAGCTTCTCTGAACACCCTGTGCCAGCGCCTCACCACCCTCACGGGGAAGAGCTTCTGCATAAGATCTGATATCCTTTTCTGAGGAGACGCTGGATAATTCCTGATACACAGGAAAGGTACAGGCCGGGGGGAATAATCCATCTTTTCCCTGTGAGGGAAGCGCTGGGCTGGTCTCCTGGTGCCCTCTGCTGTCCACATCCTCTGGCCAGCATCTGCACGTCGGGAGCAGTGATGGGGAAGTGTTTCCTTCGCTGGGGCTGATTTTGTGCTGTGTTCCCAGTTTCATCCCATCACGTAGGCATCAGGCAACGTAAGCGTCACCTCCTCACTGGTGAAACTTCTGTGTCTGTCCATCCACCATTTAACCGAAAATATTACATTAATACATGCGTACGAGTACTTTTTGATCTGTTACCTGTACTTTTAATGCTTATCTGAATTTCACAGGCAGGCACTTAAAAAACTAGTGTTATTCCCTCCCACCAAGTAATTGTTCCTCAATATCCTGCTACAGAAACACATGGGATGTGAGATGTGTCATTACTCTTTGGGGAGGGAATATATTCAGCAACACCCTATTCCATGCAGCCACCCCCTAAAGACTTTGATTTTTAAAAGTGGGTTTAGGACCAAAAAAAAAAGAGAAGTTGGGTTACAGGCTTTTAATAGCAGTTGAGGTTCAGAAGCCATGTTTCTAGAGGGCTCCTGGCAAAGGTCCTGCTTTCTTCACAGAGCTGCTCTCATTTATTTCAGCTAAATGGCATTTGTTTAGCTGGAATCAACTGCCTTTCACACCTCTGATTCTCCTCTTTCATTCTGATAGAAGACACCAATCATTTTGAGGACTACTGTCAGTGACCTGATGAGGTTTGGAAGCAATTCCACTGAGCCATGCCCTGGAGGACAGGCAGGGATAGGTCATTTCACCCCCATTGTCAAGTTCTTCCTTGTAGCTCTCTCCTGGAGACCTTTGTTGGTTCTGTTCCCTGGTTTTCCCACCCCTGAACCCAAGCCTCCACCTCAACAAACATTCACTGAAGAAGTCCAGAGCTCCACATCAGAAATAGTCTCCTCTGGGAGCATTTCAGGGCTGACCACCAAATCCCAGACCCCAACCACACATCAAGGCAATATATACTTAAAGATACTGTTTTTTACCGAGCTGATTCTGTGTAGTCTTCAGAAGTCAGGGAAAAAAAGAACTGCAAAGTGTATTCATGCTTTTAGTATGTGTTTTTATTGCAGTAACTTCTAAATTATTCACAAGTTTCAAATATCTCATCTAGTAAAGAAATCAGTATGGATAGCTTGTGATAGTTCAGGAGGCTCAAAACCTGCTGAGGCCAATGGGAAGATGCTCACAGACTGTGATGCACTTTAAGTGCAGCCAGAACAAGCTTGAGCAGCTTCAGTGACCTCAAGCCTTACAGCCCACCTTCACAATACTTCTACAGGAGAATGATTAAACATGAATGAAATTAACTTTGTTATTTAGTACAAAAAGGCCACTGGACAAGAGAAGTTGAACCAACCAAACGAAGATATATAAAGCAACACAGTTCCTAGTTCTTGGCCTTTAAAAGGCAATGATAGCACCTTGGCCTTAGCAAGGTGCATCTTCACCTACTAAAGCTTGCTCCCTGAGCTGGAAAATCACACATTCCTGCAGGTCTTACTCATTCTTTTCTTCTTCACTAATCCTAAAATGAAACCACTGCTGCATTGTGTTCACAGTTAATGTTCATAACGTCAGGAAGGTGCCTCCAGGGCCAGCTTATCCAGGGCTTTTTTCTTCCCCTGTTTCCCTGGGTTGGTGCTAAGTAGGTACAAACAGGCCCAGTTCAACAGTCTAGATCCTGGCAGGGTTAGAGGAGTAAGGACTACGGGAGATGCTCCTGCAAAGATAAGCACGTATCATTTGAAGCAAGCTGCTTTTTCAGAATCTCATGCTTCAGTATCATACTTCTTTAGTTTCTTGCTTTTCTCTTCGATATCTTTCAGCGTACCTTGCAGTTTCTTAAGGCTGGGTGTCAAGAAAGCAAAGCTCTCCCTGAAGCTGCAGTTCCAGTGTTCCCTGCAGATATTCTCAAGCCCAACGTAACACTCCAATATCTTCTCCAGCTCCGCCTGAACAACCTCCTGCTCCTCCAGCTCCGCCCGAAGCGCCTGCCCCGCGGACACCTCCGCCCTGTACTGCTCCTGCAGCTGATGGATCTCATCCTGAAGCGCCTGGAACTGCTCTTTGCTGTAGGGATAATGCTTGTGGACCTTGTCCTCGGGAAGGAGCACGTTCTTGGGGATGTTCAGCACCAGCTGCAGAAGCATTTCTTCCATTTTACCGAAGAGCTCATCGAAGCTCTTCTTCAGGAAAAGGAAGAACTTCTCGGTGCTCTTCCGGATGTGGAGGGGGCTGATCTTGCACTCCGGAAGCTCCTCCAGCTTCTTCAGGATGACGGTCTCCACCAGCTGCATCATGTCGAACAGGTAATCCTGGAACGCGGTGTACACCCGCAGCATGCACGTCTGCGGCGTGAAGCCGAAGAACTGCGCTTCGTAGGTCATGGGATTGACCGACATGGTGGCGGAGGGAAGGCCGGGAGGACCCAGCTCCGGCCCCGGCACACACGGGCCCTGCTATAGGAAGGAAGGCTGAACCCGGAGCCGAGGGGAAGCGGGTTGCCCGCCGCAGCCGCAGCCTACCCGAGGCGCCGGTGCCGCCGCCGCTCGCCTACCGGACGCCCGCTCCCTTCACCGATTCCCGCTTTGTTCAAGCTTCCTCAGGACGACCGCCCCGCCGCAAGCAGTCGGTAACAGAGACGAGCATCGCGCTGCCCAATCACCAAGGGCTCCAGTTCGCGGGGGCGGGGAAAGCAAGGGGAAGACCAATGAGAGCTCAAGGGCGCTGCCGGAGCCGATTGGCTGTGCCGGGGGTTGGCTGGACCTGTGCGTGCAGACGCAGAGGAGCCGTTGAAGGGGTGTGAGGGCAGTTAAGATGCCGTACCAGATCTTGCGGCAGGAGTACCTGCAGATGCCACCCGTGACGCGGGCCTACACCACGGCCTGCGTCCTTCCTACCCCCGCTGTGGTGAGTCCGCCCTCCCGGGGCCACCCTCAGAGCCGGCCGGGCGCGGAGGGTACGCGGGAGTGGGGGTGAGGCTCACTGGGGAACAGGGGTTACCTCAGGCGCCTCCACCGGCGGTCCTTCAGGGCGCCCTGAGGAGGGAACTCGCTGCAGGCAGCGCTGCCTGGGCCCCGCTGTGAGCCCATCCGGAGAGCTGGGAAGGTGCAAAGCACCGGTAAATAATAACGGGAGCGGGGTGAGGGCGTTATTGAGGCTCGATTTTGCTGCCAGGGAACTTGATGACCTCTTTTGGCACAGAAGAAGGAGGTTACTTACTTGAGTGCACATAACTTGTGTGTTGATTCCATCATATGTTCTTTTCTTTCTCAGCAATTAGGACTAGTCACACCTTTTAAGCTGTCTTTCAACCGTGAACTAATATTTAAGCACTTTCAAGTAAGTGTTTTCTGAAGTATATGGGGTTTTTAAAGTACATTGTTGAGTTTGGGAGTGCCTGGCCTCTCGAAATTGAGTGTGGCAAATGACTGGGTTTTCACTCTAGCTAATGAAGCTAGAGTGCAGATCACTGTTTCTTAGCATAAGTCTTAGATTCATGGACTGTAAAGGAGACTTCAGTTACTTGTTACCTGCTTTTCTGTTTATGCAATAAGAATAAGCTGTCATGTTTAAAGTCTTTCTATTTGTCTTATTTCCAGGTATGGAGGTTAATCACCAACTACTTCTTCTTTGGATGAGCTGGCTTTAGGTTTTCATTTAACATTATCTTTTTGTATCCTTCATGAAGTTTTCTTGCTTTCCTTAGAAAGCACAACTCCAGAGTGCTTTACTGTAAGTACTGGTTGTAAAGCTAAAGACGTGTGAATGAGAACTGAAACAGGTATAGAAAAAGTGCTTGTGTGGAAAACTGTTTATAATTCAGTCACAGCAGCTTCTGGTAAATCAGGCAGCTCGAGGCAGAACTGTGCTGTGCCTGTACTGGCTTTTTCATGTAACTGGTGTTGTCAGACAAGGGAGGGGAGGATCTTAGAGATGTGCAAATGGGAGCTATGTTCTTCAGGACAAGGGCTAAAGGGTAGCCTGTGATTTCTTCAATAACACTTGTTAGTCTTTGCCTGTTGGTGGCACCAAAGATGCATGTCTGAGTTCTGCTGTGTATGAACAGTGACTGAGGTGTTAAATATAATAGATCTAATGTTTTTTCTTTTGTCAGTCATCCTCATTTCACAGTTTGGCAGAAAATTTAAATGCTCATGGTACTGAGTGCTGCTCCTGCTCAGTTCCCTCTTGTGCAGAGGGCTGTAATCACGGATATAAGGAAAAATTTCTTTACCGAAAATTAGTTTCAGCTAATATTTGATACACCACAAGGTGATCCTAATCACAATCGTTTCGCATAAGAACGACCAGGAGGATTTGCTTGGAGAGAAGGTCAGCGCCTTGGAGGTTTATAAGTGTCTGTGACAAAACGCAGTGAGAACTGGGAGAGACTGACCTGAGGAGAGATCCATACTGGGGACTTTTCATTCCCCATCACAGAAAGGACACTTTTTCACATCTCTACAGTTTTGAGTACAAGCACTTTATGTAGGCCTGTCGTGGTTTAACCCAAGCCAGACAGCTTGTTCACCCACTCCCCCCCCTCTTCTTGCCCTCCCCCTACTCATGGAGGGACGGAGAGGAGAATCAGAAAGAATGCAACTCCCCCGGGTTGAGATAAGAACAGTTTAGTAACTAAGGTACAACACAAATCACTGCTGCTACCACCAGTAATAGTAATGATAAAGGAAATAACAAGGGAAGAGAATACAACACCTCATCACCAGGCGACCGATAACTCGCCCCCCCAGCCCGACCAAGCACCCACCAATACCACCTCCGATCCTGGAGTCCACTCTCGCCTCCTTCCAGGTCACTCTCCCAGTTACATCCTGGGCATGACGTGCTGTGGTATGGAATACCTCTTTGGTCAGTTTGGGTCAGGTGTCCTGTCTCTGCTTCCTCCCAGCTTCCCTCCTCCCTGGCAGAGCATGAGGCTCACAAAGTCCTTGGCCAAACCAAAACATCATTGTTTTCCAGCTCTGTTCCCAGCCCGAAAGTCAAAACACAGCACTGCACCAGCTACCAAGAAAGAGAAAAATGACTGCTACTGCTGAACCCAGGACAAGTCCGATCCAAGATACTTCCAGACTACCGCTTCCTGTCTTTCCCAGTCAGGGAATTTATTGTGCTGGTAATTAAAATACTAATCCAGTGGAGCCAAAAACCTAAAACTGGAAACAATTTCCTGTCAGCTTCAGTTAACAAGGCCATGAGTGAGATGGTGAGATGTAAGGAAGTGGGGATGGAGAGAAAAGACACCCCTGGTACTGGGATAACACCTTCTGTAAGTTTAGAGCCTGACTGTGGAGTAGTGTTGTGCCCCTGCCTGAGGGTGGCTGCTCAAGTCATGTGCTGGTAAGATCACTTGTCCTCGCTCTGCCAAAGCTGCTTTCCTTACACACTGCCTTCCACTCTGGTAGAGTAAGATAGTACTCTTCTCTTTACAGAGTAATGCCACAGCAGACACACAGCCGCATCTAGGAGGAACTTTTAAGTGTTCTTACTTGTATCACAGGACAAAATTGACTATTGCTGGCAGATTACTGCCTCACCTGGGCTTTAACTGTCCTTGAAATCACTCTTGGGCAGCCTCTCCCACAAAGAGGGAGTTTTTGAAATACCAGACTCCTCTTTGGAGGGTGTATCCTCAGCTGTTTGGGATGTTGGAGATTACTTCATGGAATTGTAGAATACCAGGTTGGAGAGACCTCAGGGATCATCTGGTCCAACTTTTCTTGTCAAAGCATGACCTAGACTAGGTTTCTCAGCACCCTGTCCAGCCGAATCTTAACAGTAGCCAATCTTAGGGAATCCACTGCTTCCCTGGGTAGGTTGTTCCAGTGGCCGATTGCTGTGTGAAATACTTCCCCCTTGTGTCCATTTGGAATCTCCCCAGGAGTAACTTATATCCGTCACCCCTCACCCTTTCATGGGACTCCTTGCAAAAACGGAGTCTTCATCTTTTCTGTAGACCCACTTTAAATACTGGAACATGGTGATAAGGTCTCCCCTGAGCCTTCTTTTTCCTAGGCTGAACAAACCCAGTTCTCAGCCATTCCTCACTTGGCTGCCCAACCCTTGGATCATCTCTGTGGCTCTTCTCTGGACTCTCCAGCCTGTCCACCTCTTTTTTGTTAGAGTGGGAACCAGAACTGAGCACAGCTATTCCAAGGGCAGCCTGGCAAGGGCCGAGTACAGCTTTGTGCCAACAGCTCGTAAGCGGGGATGCCGTAGGTGTCAACCCCGCCTCTCTAAGACTTACCTGCAGATCCTCTGCACCTCTTCTCCGGGCTTTGGTTTCACCGCGGCAGCCGCTGCCTGCTCCGTGCCCGGCCATGCCCCCGTGTGCCCTGCACTGCATCTCCCAGCGGGCCCCGCTGTGCCCGCCCTCTGACGCCGAGCCTGTGCGCGGTCGCAGCGGCCCTGCGCTGTCCCGCGGCCGGCTGGAGCGATGCGGCTGCCCGGTGAGGGGCCGCCGGCCAAGCGGCCGAAAGCGATGCTCCCAGCGCGCCCTGCCGTGCAGCCCCGCGGGCCGCCGCCCGTCGAGCAGCAGCGCCGCAGCCTGCCCATCTTCCCGGTGCGGGGCCGGCTGCTGGGCCACATCCGCGGCCTCGACAGCGCCGTCGTCATCGGTGAGTACCGGACCCGGCGGGGCTGGGGAGGGGGGCAGCGGGCGCGGCTCCCGTCAGCCGGTGCGAGGCTGCACAGGAGCGTAGTAAAGCGGTAACAGCTTTGTTACCGAGCGAGGACTGGTTACGACAGTTTGTGCCTTGAGGTTTATGAAGAAGATTTAATAGAAAAACGATTCCCTTGGTGTTTCTCAGGAGAAACAGGCTCGGGGAAGACCACCCAGATCCCTCAGTACCTCTACGAAGCAGGAATTGGCCGCCAAGGCACCATCGCTGTGACCCAGCCCCGGCGAGTAGCAGCGATAGCCTTAGCTACCAGAGTCTCAGATGAGAAGAAGACAGAGCTGGGAGGCCTGGTAGGTTGTTTCACAGCGTCTTTAGGGAGTTAGCTTAGTGCTGCAGTGACAGTGGGGCCGTGTCAGGGCTTCCTGGTAAAGATAGTAAACAGCCATGGGGGTTGTCTTCATTTAATAATATGCCTGAATGGGGAAAAAAAGGCTGTTTGCATGCTGCTGTGGCATGCGTGTGTGTGTGTGTGTTTGTATTTGTGGTATTTTACTTCTTGGTTGTTCTGTATTCCTCAGGTTGAAAAACATACTGGTTAATGAATAAAACAAAAAGTGTTGCACTCTTTTCCAGTGCTCCCTGTACTGAAAGTCACTGCCAGGGAGAGCAGGGTGCTGACTCCATGCAGACCTGGGAATCTTTGGGAGAAAAGGGGAGGAGAAAGACTTTCCCTATCTAAAATCTGTGGAGATCATGGGGTAGTTTCTAGCAGGGGAGGAAGGAAAGGAAACTCGGGGCAATTGCAGTTTCTCTAGTTGAGAAAACGCCAATTGGGATACAGTGTTTGGAGCATCCTTTGGATGATATGAGACTTGCAGGATTAACTGCTCTCAGACTGCAAATACACCATTACACTTTCCAGAGCCTCCTTGGAGTTCCAGTTGGCTCTGTCCTACCAGAGTGCTTTGTAGTCTTCCTTTGTGGTACAATGCCAATGATAAACACAAGTAACTTTACGCTGTCTGTAACATTCACTCCTGTAGGTTGGCTACAGTGTCCGCTTCGACGACCTGACGTCTGATGAAACCAGAATCAAGTTTTTAACAGATGGAATGCTGCTTCGGGAAGCCATTGGAGACCCCCTGATGCGGAAGTACAGCGTTGTCATCCTGGATGAAGCCCATGAGAGGACGATCCACACCGATGTGCTCTTTGGAGTGGTGAAAGCCGCACAAAAGAAACGGAGGCAACTGGGCAAGCTGCCACTAAAAGTATGTGGCAGGGCCTGGGGCTTGGACTTGAGTATCTCCTGGCATTTGCCAAAGCATTTGAAATGTCAGCTTTGACTCTTTGTGTTTCGAGAGGTCCTTTTAAGTCTCCCTATTTAAGGGTGGCCAGCTTATGATGTGTGGGCCTGATACAACACATCTGAATAGCCTATCTGGTCACCTCCATGGTGCCCTTTTTCCTAAGAGCCCTTATATGACAGCTGTATGACATGCTCACAATGGGGAAGGAGATTGCCCGTGTGTGTTGGGTGGATGTGTAATGAATTTGTGTGAGTACATGATGGAGCATGTGAAAGCTTGTTGGTTTTGTTGGGGAAGGTGTAAAAGGGACTGGTAGGGTCCTAGCACAGGCTTGTTCAACAGACCACTCTGCAGCATAGCTTTGTGGGTATCAGCTGTCTTTCTTAAGTGTCAGAAAGAATTTTAACACATCTTTGCTTATTTTATCATACCAATGTGTTACCCTTGTGTGATACCGAAGCTGATGGCTTCAGTAAGGAAAGATCACTCTTCTCTCACAAACTGTATGCTTTTTGCTGTTCTGAGCATATATCTCAGTCTCTGGGAGCTGATCTTTGGCTAGTCCTGACTGGATCAAAATTGCACTGCTAACCCATCTTATGCTCCTATTGAAGGTGATCATCATGTCAGCAACGATGGATGTTGACCTGTTCTCTGAGTACTTCAATGGAGCTCCTGTCCTCTATTTAGAAGGCAGGCAGCATCCCATTCAGGTCTTTTACACCAGACAGCCTCAGAGTGATTACCTGCAAGCAGCACTGGTGACAGTCTTCCAAATCCACCAGGTAGGGCTATCTCATCAGGTTTGTGTCTCTTTGGTGCTATGGATTGTTGCCTGGGGAGGCTCACAGGCTGCTGGGCCAGAGAAGATGGTGTGAGCTTGCTGCTGCCAAATTGGAGATGATCCTGAGGTGTGTCCTCTGGGAAAAGCTGATAGTTGGGGATCATGCTGAGTTAGTGAATTTGAATTGCCTCAAGGGAGGGGTTAACAAATGCCAGTGTTATTCCAAAAGCGAAAAGAAAGATTGGAACTGGGGAACTGTAAAGAGCACTGGGTTGTGGGGGGAAATCCAGGTATAAACTAACAGTAGCACGAAGATGATTCTCATTTACTGTCAAAGCATAACTGCAGAGCAAGTAGAAATCTGTTCTGATGACAGTTTGTAGGCATTTTGTGACTAAATGTTCGTATGCAAAGCTGCCAGGGTGCTTGCTGGTTCTCTCCTTTGCACGTCCTGGACAGTTATTTCATGAAACAGAGATGTGACTTTAAGCACTTCCTCCATCCTGTTAAGACTGAACCCTGCAAAATGCAGTTTACTCCTCACTCTGTTTAATCCACTGGGAGCTTCAGGCCTTGCACCATGTGTGTGTCCGTTCTTCCTTACCTGCTTTGCTGACTGGCTCTCAGGACAACATCTCATGACAAGATCTCATTACAATCTCAGTTCTCCCTCCCTATCCAAACCATCTTCACTTCTCACTTGCTTCTTCCTCTGGCTCCAGGAAGCACCCTCTTCTCAGGACATCCTGGTGTTTCTGACTGGCCAGGAAGAAATTGAAGCAATGACCAAAACCTGCCGAGACATTGCCAAGCATCTCCCTGACGGCTGCCCACAGATGCTGGTGATACCTCTTTATGCTTCTCTGCCCTACTCTCAACAACATCGCATCTTTCGGGCTGCCCCCAAGGTGAGAGGATGTGATGGGTAAACAGGAAGAGTTTGCTTGCAGGAGTGTTTGGAAGAAATGTGGGATTTAAAGGGTTAAAGCAGCCCGTACTGATCCTAAGTCAGTCTCCACTGTCCATTGGTGTTAGGCTGAATGGTTCCAATATGTTATAAGACAGTGCAGCTGGAATGGCATTAACTGGTACCTATGATAAGTCATCTGGGATCATAAAAGAAGGAAGAATTAGGGAGTGAAAAGGGCAGAGTCATTGAAATTTGCCCTATTTCATGAGAAGTTTATGTCCATATTACAAAAAAGCTACAGTGGTTATTGGACAAAACACTAAGAAAGCTGAAAACCCAGGCTTATTGCAGGGCTCTAAGAGAAAGAAATTGTGCTGCCTTAGGCCCTTTTGTACCTGTTCAGCAAGAATCCAGAAATGAAACCAAAATGGTTTAAAGATATAGTGATAACATCTGTCCTGGATGGTGTATTTTACCACAAGTGTAAACACATGTTTTTGGAACTGATAGGAACTACAGGTTATCTTAATTTACAAGAGCTGGCATAGTATGTGGTCTTAACATGCTGCAGTGCTAAGTATGCTTGACCCGTGCTGGCCAAAGTAGCAACATTTCTTTGTTGCATCTCATCTAAGGTGGTTTGTGACTAGCTTTAGTTTGCTCTTCCTTCCAGGACTGTCGCAAAGTGATCCTGTCCACCAACATCGCAGAAACCTCCATCACCATTCCGGGAATAAAATATGTTGTGGACACAGGCATGGTCAAAGCAAAGAAGTACAGACCCGGTGAGAAAACCTATGGAACAGTGCAGAGGTTGTTTTCAGTTTTGTAGCAGTTACTTGAGGCAATGAGCCCTATGGAGAGCTGATTTAAAACACCCTCTGCACTGTCTAAATTAATATCTCAGGGTTTTGGTTGTTTTTTTTGAGTGCCAGTCATGTGGGTGTAAAAGTCTGTCAGATACGAATCTCTTGATGGACACAGTGTGTGATAATTCGCTTTGCTTCACTGTGCTAAACCAAGTGAAATCCGAGCAGTATTTGGATGGCAGACCCTGGGATGTTCTGTTGTTAACCGACCTGGTTTCAAAGCTGTGTGTTACACACACATTGACTGAAGTGATGCTTTTCCATACACAGAAACTGGTCTGGAAGTGTTGGCAGTCCAGTGGGTGTCAAAGGCCCAGGCTTGGCAACGCACAGGGAGAGCAGGGCGAGAGGACAGTGGGATCTGTTACCGGCTCTATACAGAGAATGACTTTGAGAAGTTGAGCCAGATGACAGTACCGGAGATACAGAGGTGAGGACAAAACCCCGATATCATCACACTTCTTACCACACTTCTTTTATGTACTGTTAAAGAACTGAACAGCAAAACTGGATCTAGGATCTAATGGATGGTTTTTAAGAAAAAAATAACTTTAGAGACTGAATAGAAAAACTAGGAAGCATTTGCTCAGGTACAGTTGGGTCTGAGTCTCCAAACACCCACGGGCAAAAGGTCTCTTGACTTTTCCTCCAGATCTTGGATTTGCCTCTTGCCCTTCCTGGTTTAGGAAGTAAGGCTTCACCAGCCAGCACCAGACTAGTCTCTGTCAAGTTGCAGCACAGGTCTGAGGGCTCTACCTCAGCTTACAGGCAACTGAAAAAAAAGAATATAATAATAAAGGAAGAACAATCTCAGTTGGTTTTTGTGCCTATGCAGGTGTAACCTGTCCAGTGTGATGCTTCAGCTCCTGGCCCTGAGAATTCCCAATGTACTCACCTTTGACTTCATGTCCAAACCATCTCCTGGTAAGTAAGTGGGTACAAAGGCAGCTGTGCAAGAAATGATGAATGAGTCACTGAGAAATTGCTTTAAAAGAGTGTCTGCAGTCCAGCTGCAGAAGATGGAGTGTGAAAGGTCAGAGCTCTGAAGGAGAAGCTGCATCCTGGTGGTCCTGAAGGCTCAGATTCATTTACTGCTCATTGATGGTACTCAGTCTCATCAGAGCAGCCATGATTATGGCAGAGAGCAGGAGAGTCCAGCTTCTAAACAGAGTAGAGAGCAGCCTTGAGTTATAAAACCCACAAAGGTGTGCTATGACTGCCAGAGAAAGCCACAGGGAAACTCACTCAACCTCTGCTCAAAGCTGGAGATGGTAGCTTTAGTTTTGCCACTTAAATTGGAAAAGGCGATTGTTCTGGATGGAGGGGGATAAACCACAAGGGCACTAATTTGTCTAAATAGAAACTCCTTGTCCCTGTGGCCAGGGGAAGGGGAAAGAGGTAGTGATGGTACCAGCTGATCCTTCACTTCCCTGCCAGGAGGCCTCACAGCCTGAACGTCCTTCTTTTGACAGAGGCTATTCAAGCAGCAATTGAGCAGCTGGTCCTGATGGGAGCTGTGGAACGAAAGGACAATCAGTTTGTCCTGACCCCCCTGGGAAAGAAGATGGCAGCTTTTCCACTGGAACCAAAGTTCTCTAAGGTAAAAACTGCAGATATCTCGTGTACTCTTCCCAATTCCATTGGCATTTCTCTTTCAAACTTCTTAAGCAAGGTCTGGAATCTGGAGTGACTGCAGCTGTACCAGTATATTTGCCGTACATGAATGAAGCACAGCTTTATTTACAGCAACTGTGCTGATTTAGTCGTCGTTTGACATTTAATTCAGGGAGGGTTTTTTAAAGACAATTCCTTTCTCTGGCCCCTCAGAAGCTGACACAGGGTTTATTTCCTTGTGATCTCTGGGCTTGCTGGTAGCACTGTTCAGCAGTTTCATGCAGTGTCTGATGCTGTAGTTGATGTTAGTCATTGTGTTTGTACAGAGTATAAAATGGCCAGTCCCAGGAAAGAGAACAACAGTTGCAGTTAAAGGTGCTTGATGGGCCCGTAGGAGGATTTACAGTTGCCTCTAGGCCTAAAAGTTTATGAGATTGTCCTGAACAATGCTTGGTAAAGTTCCTGGGCTGCCAGTGAGCGGAAGGGTCTGCCCACCTGTGGATCTGGTTGACCAGAAATGAGTTTTGCTCTGTGATTTGCAGACCATCCTCCTGTCCCCCAAGTTCCACTGTACAGAGGAGATCCTGACCATCGTGTCCCTGTTATCCGTGGACAGCGTCCTCTACAATCCCCCTGCTCGGCGGGATGAAGTGCAATCTGTCAGGAGAAAATTCATCTCCAGTGAGGGGGATCATCTTACCCTGCTCAGCATTTACAGGGCCTTCAGGAATGTCAATGGCAACAAGGTAGGATGCTCTGAGGATGCCAGTGCTGGCTGGGTTCATGGTGGTGAGGAGTTTTTTTGGCATATAGCAGAGTGGCATCTGCATCTTCCACGGTTGATGCAATGTGCATCCTTTACAAGTGGGTAACTGGAGAAAGCTGTTCAAGTGCCTAAGGTTTCTCCAGAAAGCTGTAGCAAAACTGGTTGTCAAAGCTTTTGAGGCCGGTTCTAAAGCAGAGCCAGGTCTCTTCCTCCCCTGGTTCCAGCTGGAAATGGGAAGGAATGGGAGAGTGTTGAGACTTGCTGATAAATACCTAGACGTGCTCTTTGGCAGGATTCTTTGCAGAAACACTGATTGTGTTGTCAAGCAGATTTTGATTTGTCCTACCCTATAGGCTTCTCATTTTGATTTGTGGATCTGTAGGCTCATGTACCCCATGCCTTGCAGCATCTGTCATTCTCAGGTGATCACTTTTCCCCAGCTGTGGGATAGCAGGTGCTGTTTCACAGCAGCCGGTGGCTTGTGGAGCAATTCTGAGTGGGAAGAGAGCAACAGTGTGCTGGTTTTTAGCAGTGTGTAGACAGAGGAGAGTAGACAGATAGAAATGTGGCCAGGAAGTGGGTTAGCACCTTTCGTCTGAGAGAGAGGTTGTGTGTTTGGAGAATTCATGCTTTCAGGGTGAAGAAATGGCCCCTTCTAACTCCTGGTGTCTCTGCTGCAGGGATGGTGCAGAGAGAACTTCATCAACAGCAGGAACATGATGCTTGTGTCAGACGTCAGAGCTCAGCTCAGAGACATCTGTGTGAAGGTAACTTGTTGTCACGCTGTATTGCTCTGTTTGTCCCCAAACTGATTTTGCTGTGCATTGAGTCCCGGGAGTGGGAAAATGTGGGTTTGTTTTCAGTCTCCCATGCGTAGTCTGGTAAAATTCCTGACTGTGCAGCTGCATCCCAAAATCTCAGAGCTGGGGGAGGCTCAGTGGGTTGAGGAGAGGTAAAGAGGGAAGGGAAGCTCTGGGGAAGTTTCTTGGATGGAGGAAGTTATTCCCTAAGGAGTTCTGCTGCTGGAGTGTGGATGTGACTGTGCTCTGTGCACTGCTGGGTGATGTCAGGCTCTGCAGCCTGTGCTGGCTGGCTTCTTCTCACAGTCACGCATTTGGTTTAGCAGCAGCTTTCACATCAGCACCATTCCTGCCAGTCACAGAGCATCAGGCACAGTGTGGGAGCTGCTGCTGAAGTGCTCACAGTCTGCATGTGACACGGGAGCCACCATTTGGCACCTCTGTCCTGCTGCTAATGCTCCTTGGTCTAAAACCCACCCCCAGAAGCACAGTCTTGGTGCATTTTGCGGCTCATCTTTTGCTTCCTATTAGCCTGTGTCTGTGCTCTCCTCTATTACTAGCTTCTCACCGACCTGAAAATGTCACTTAAACTGTAAAAAAGGGTTTCAGTGCATTAGAGAGGCTACAGAGGCCTATAGCAGGTGGGCCCGAGATCTAAGGAGTGCAGCCTCAGCTGGTTTGGATTACTAGAGCAGAACAGCAAAGCTCAAACAGGAGTCAGAAAACACGTAGTGACTTTGCCTTGCAAGATCAGTTCTTGCTGGATCTCCTCCAGCACCGCCAGCTCATGGGGGTCCTCTAGCATCTGGGAAAGACACATCCCAGTGATCCAACCATCCTGGCTGCTCTGTCACTACGCTTCCACACCTGACAGCGCTGTCGCTATTCCCCACGCTGGCAGGATTCCTGACACAGTATTGGTGGTCTCAGAAGCCCACCTCAAAAGGCTGTGTTTCCCCACGAGGGTCTGCATAGACACCTGTGTGCCTGTCTCTGCTGCACAGCTCTCAATGCCGATCGAGTCCTCCCGCTCGGACACTGGGAACATCCGCCGCTGCCTGGCCCACAGCCTCTTCATGAACGCCGCGGAGCTGCAGCCGGACGGCTCCTACCGCACCGTGGACTCCCACCAGGCAGTGGCCATCCACCCCTCCTCTGTGCTCTTCCACTGCAAGCCAGCCTGCGTGGTGTACAACGGGCTGCTCCACACCAACAAGTGCTACATGCGGGACCTGTGCGTGGTGGATGCAGACTGGCTCTATGAGGCAGCGCCTGACTACTTCCGCAGGAAGCTCCAAGTGGCCAAGAACTGAGCTGTGGGTCTGGCACCAGCAGCTCTGGGGGGTTTGGGACTGGTTTTTGGTTTGTAAGGAATGGATGGGAATGGTGGAGCTTTGCCTAGGTCAAACCCTTAGAGGAAAAGTGCTTCATGAGAGACAGACCTCACAAGTGTCCGTGGCTTACAGCAATCATCCTTTTAACAGGTGAGCTCTAAAAGGGGAGCGTGCTCTGTGTACAGGGTGTGGGATAAATCTATCCCAGGAGGGGAGCTGGTATCAGATTGCAGTTTTTAACAGGCTTGTGGATAAAGAAATAAAACCCTAAGAGCACTCTTGGTGTATTTTATGATTGTGCTTGTGTCCTCAGCAGCTTTTACTGCAGTAAATAAATGAAGCAAGTTGTAAATGTCTACATACAGGGGAAAAATGCTTCTTTTTACTGTTTCTAGAAGGGAGGCGCTACTGTCTTTTACCTCCTCAGTCATCTTCCTGCCTTCTTGTCATGTTGCTATCTTGGGACCACACAAAGGCCAGTAATGGCCTGTTCCTAGGCAGGGTGATCCTGGATGCCTGCAGGTGTGTGTTGGAGATGGACGCGCATCCCTTTGTTGTGCCTCTTTGCAGTGTTGTTCTCTGGTGGCTTGAAAAGAAGAAGGAAAAAGAAGAGGTGGGTGGGCACAGGCAAAACTTGCTACTTCTGTATGTGTGAGCTGGGCCCTTTTGGGTTGGTATTTGCAGAGTGTGCAGCTATTTCAGTTGTTCTCACTTGAATTGCAGGGAATTATTAAAGCACTGCATCTGTTTCTTGGGTTTACAGACTTTGCAGCCCTAGGGGAAAATGTAACATGAAATATGTAATATGTAATGTATATGAAATGTAATGGCCGTTTTGTTTGGGCAGTCCAATGGAACAGTCTGGTTAAGGGAGGGGAGGGGGTTTTATTTAGAACTGATTTGCATAGTTTTTCCCAAAATAGAGACACGGTGGTGGCAGAAATCCATGGCCTGGGTGATGTTTTGTTACATGGAAGCTGTGTGGATGTGATGGGGGTGGATATGGGTGTGATGAGGTATGGATGCCCTCCTGCTGCAGTGAGCAGCAATGGGCCTTTTGTGCTTCTACTCAATAGAGGGCAATAGTGCCAGCTTATAGACAAAGGGAAAACTGTGCCAGCAGGGAGTTTGCCTTGGTCGGTCCTCCCTCTGAAATATTATTGCCAAAGGGGTTAAAAACACAAAAGACATTCCTGCTTTTTCCGAGCAGGCTGCAGAGGGCTCGGTACCCACACTAAGTGTTGATGTACAGCAGTGAAGCTCTCGCCATCCACTCTCCTGTTTCATCCAGCCTCAATATTATTCCCACATCCTTAACACTTTCTTTGCACCTTCACCCCTGGGCCGGTCCCGGTGCTCCCGGTGCCGTCCCTGCCCGGGCCTCCTCTTTAAACCTCCTGGGTTTCCATTCCAGCCTATTGCCGGGGCCGGGACTCGAACCCGCGACCTCCGCACCGCCGCAGGGGCCGCTGGGCTGGGGGGTGGCCGGAAGCGGGTCTGTCTGTTCCGGGGCCGGCGGTGTCCTCTGCCCGCCCCTCCTCACCGCACCGCCCGCGCCGCACCGGACCGCACCATGCTGCTCACCCAGGCCCTGCGCGCCGCCGCCGCGCTGCGCCCAGCGCTGCGCCCCCCGCCCCGCCGCCTCCTTCCCCTCTCCTCCTCCTCCTCCTCTTCCATCTCCTCCTTCTCCTCGGCCTCTCCCCGCGCCCTCCTGCCGCCGCCCCTGGCGCGCTCCCTGTGGCAGCTGGGCCGCGGCGGCGGCGGCGGGGGGCGGACGGCGCTGCTGCGGCCGCGGCGGGGCTCTGCCGGCGGCGTGTCCTGCGGGTGCGGCGGGCTGCACACCGAGGGTGAGCGGGGGGGGGGGGGCACACGGGACATGGGACACGTGCGCGACCCCATCCCCATCCGGTGCGCCGCACGTGGTGGCCGTGCCCCATGTCCCGCCATTTCCCGCCAGGAGACAAGGCCTTCGCGCAGTTCCTGACCGATGAGATCAAGGAGGAGAGGAAGATCCAGAAGCACAAGGCTCTGCCCAAGGTGTCCGGCGGGTGGGAGCTGGAGGTGCACGGCACCGAGGCCAGGCTGGTGCGGAAGGTCCCCGGCGAGAAGTAAGTGAGGGTTGGGGCGTGTGGTAACGGCGCCCAGATTTGTCCTTGGGCTCCTGTCGCTTCCCCTGCGGAGGAGGCCATGGAGCTGCTGCGAGGGCTGGAGCGGCTCTGCTCTGGAGCCAGGCTGAGAGAGCTGGGCTGGGGCAGCCTGGAGAAGAGAAGGCTCCTGAAGGGGGGACCTTAGAGCAGCTCCAGTGCCTAAAGGGGCTGCAGGAAACCTGGAGAGGGGCTTGGGACAAGGGCCTGTAGGGACAGGACAAGGGGAATGGCTTGAACCTGCCCAAGGGGAGACTGAGCTGAGCTCTTAGGCAGAAGCTCTTCCCTGTGAGGGTGCTGAGGCGCTGGCACAGGGTGCCCAGAGAAGCTGTGGCTGCCCCATCCCTGGCAGTGTTCAAGGCCAGGTTGGACACAGGGGCTTGGAGCAAGCTGCTCTAGTGGAAGGGGTCCCTGCCCATGGCAGGGGTAGGAACTGGGTGAGCTTTAAGGTCCCTTCCAACCCAAACCATTTGATGAGTCTGTATGACTGTCCTGTCTATGCAAACTGGATGTTGCAGAGGGTCTTTGTTCTACCACCTTGGCTCAAAGGCACTTCTTGTTTAACACAAAATTGCTTCTTTACCGTGCGTTACAAAGTTCCCTGCAGTTAAAAGTAGCGGTTCAGTAAAACCTGATAATCAGTTGTGAGAGTGGGTGAGAGCCAGCTCCATTCAGCTGAGCATCTGCAAACTGCAGCAGCTGGCTGCGCTCCCCGCGTGTGAACTCAGAAACACCATCCCTGCAACAGGAGCTTCAGGCAAGAGATTCTGATGGGTGCCTTTTGAGTGTGTTCAGTGGTAACTGCTTCTGGTTCTTCTGCAGGATAACGGTGACATTCAACATCAATAACAGCATTCCACCCTCAGCAGATGATGAACCACAGGAAGGGCAGAAGGCGGATGAGCAGGAGGTAACTTGATCTTGATGTGCACTTTGGTGATGGGTACACAGAGGGAAGGTGGAACCTTGCCCTTGAGCACCAAAGCTTTTTTTCCCCCCTCTCTCTCAATATTTGGGAGCATTAAGTCACAAAATGAAGATTTTCCTGGGTTATCTGTCACTTGGTTGTGACCTTCCTCTTCACATCAGAAAGGCAGAGCAGGTCAAGAGGGATCTATAAGGAGAAATGAGAGGAAGTCAGACCTTAGAGCAGCCTTCCAGCACCAAAAGGGGCTGACAGGAAGGTTGTAGAGGAACTTTTTGTAAGGGCACATAGGGAAGAAACAAGGGGAACTCACTTTAACCTGCCAGAGAGGAGACTGAGATGAGCTCTTAGGCAGAAGCTCTTCCCTGTGAGGGTGCTGAGGCGCTGGCACAGGGTGCCCAGAGAAGCTGTGGCTGCCCCATCCCTGGCAGTGTTCAAGGCCAGGTTGGACACAGGGGCTTGGAGCAAGCTGCTCCAGTGGAAGGTGTCCCTGCCCGTGGCAGGAGGTGGAACTGGATGAGCTTTAAGGTCCCTTCCAACCCAGCCCAGTCTGGGATCTTTTGCCTTTGCAATCCCGTGCAGTAAATGCTGCAGTTTACACTTAGCTAGTGCAAGTCTTGGTGCTGGTGGGCAACATCAAGGAGACACAAAGCTATTCACATGACTTCATTTATGGTGCTTTGCTGATCACAAGTGTCTCACTCCTGTTAGTAAAACTCTTGCTAGTAAAAATAGTGGTAAAAACTGTAAAGGAGCAATATAACTTGGGTAGATGCTTCATCCGCAATGACACTGATGCTGAACAAGGTGATCGATGTTGGTGAGGTTGTGAGGGAAGTTTGGGTTGTCCTGGCCAGGTCAGAGACTGCAGAAGCAGCTGAGGGGTGGGAATGTGTGCAGGATGGGCTGTGTGTTGTGCTGTACTGTGATTGCTGCTTTGGCTCCTGTTCAGATTCCAGTGCTGATGCAACTGTTCTCTTATTTAGCCTGATCTTACATCAACTCCAAACTTTGTTGTGGAAGTAATAAAAGATGATACAAAACAGACCCTTGTTCTTGACTGCCATTACCCTGAAGACGAGGTGGGTATCACACTGGTTGTGTCACACCTGCAGCCAGCTCTGGGCTGTGATTTGCTGCACATTTCATGCTTGACTGTGGTGTAATTGTGCTCTGTTGAATCGAACTGCTCTCCACAGCCTCTTGCTTTCCTGCATCTGCAGAAAATGCAGCCCCCTTGTATCTTTTTTAAACACAAAAACCAGCTTTGTGTTTGCCAGAACCCAGTCTTTGGGGATGAGACGTTCCATTGCCTAACTCCCATCACAACATGGTGTTTCGGCTGCTTGTCAACCTGTTGATTAAATTACATTAGAGAAGGGAGGCGCAGCTTACCTTGAAGAGCATGGTAGCTTGAGGGGGGTGAACAAGGATGGCCAAAATAAGATGTATGCAATACAGTGTGTCAGTAACTTGCAAATCTCATTGTTGTGTGGGGTCACAAAGAGAAGGAGGGATTAAAAAAGGGGGGAAAGAGAATAAAATTGAGGGCTTTGACTTGCACTGATCTTTGTGGTTTACTTTGTAAACCGTATCAGATCATTTATGCAGCCAGCCCTAGCAGACAAAGGCTGGGCAGATGTGTGAGACAGAATCACACACAGGGTTGTGTCTGGCAGCTTGAGTTGGTGGCCTGACCTCTTCATAGGTGATCTCCTGCATTCTCCTGGGTGTCTGTGCTTGTCTTCACAGGCACGTGTTGAGAGGGGAGCAGCACAGCTTTACTGCTGGCCTCGGGTTTTTGCCTGCAGTGCAGTATTCCTTGCTTTGGGTTGAGCTGGCTGAAGGTGCCTAGTAATAAGAGCTAACTGTACACCTTGCATCTCATTCCCTGTTTCAGATTGGAAGTGAAGGAGAGGAAGAAAGTGATATTTTCACGATCCGGGAGGTCAGTTTTCAGCCCACTGGAGAATCGGACTGGAAGGACACCAACTACACCCTCAACACAGACTCCCTTGACTGGGTGAGTGCTGCCAACACAGCCACAGGCTGCAGAGGACACTTGAACTTGCCTCTCCTGGCTGTCCTTTTGCTGCAGGCCTATGGGTGAAGCCTGTCCTTGATGTCTGAGACAGGCATTCCCCCACTCTACCCCAGCTCTTCATGATGTGGTTCTCCTGCAAACTGAGGGTTGTTTGATGGTCCCAGCAGTCTTGCAGTGCTGGTGGCATTCCTGACAGACACACATGTTGAAGCTTCTTCTGCTCTAGGCTTCATAGGTTGATTTCCCAGCTGCTCTATTACACTTTGGATGCTTTGACACTTGCTCAGACGCGTTTTGGTCTGTGTTTAGCAGTGTAGCTTATCAGATGCCACATGCACACCTTTGTTTTGTGGGGTTTCCAGGTATGGTTTTTATAGTTGTGACACTAAAAACTGACGTGCCCAAGAATCTGGCATCTGTTCCTATGTTCTCGGTGCCAGGCTTTCGAAAGCTTAAATCATAGTTGTAGGCTGTGTATGGTTAAAACTGTACTCCTGGTGTCTATCTCTTTGGGAAGGACTCATGTTAAAGTGGGTTAGTGTGCTCTGCAACACCCCACACTGCTTGTTTTCCCTTCTCTGACTTGAGACAGAACATCAGTTACAAATGTGTATTATTTGTGATGTTCCCCGATTGCAGGAGTCCAAAGTGAATCATTTGGTCAGAAATATTGGTCTGTTTAAAAAAAACCCCACAACAACAGACCAAGAAACACAGGACAGGTATTGTTTACTATTACTGCACTAAGCAGCCAGCATGAATCTGCTCTCCTGAGGAGCAAGGGGGGAACCCACAAGCATTAATGTGCTGGAGCTGCAGCAGTTAAGTAGGATTAGAAAGAAACAAGGAGTTGATGATTGTAAGACTTTGTTTTTCACATATTTACATCAGATACCACGCTTTACAGACACTGTTGGGACCATTCACCCCCAAGGCCACTGTGCTACATAGAGGGGACAAGCAGAGTGTGTAATGTTGGCAAACTCTACCTGCTGACTCGTAGGGTCAGTGGATCATCTCCAGGGTGCAGCTCATTTGTCACGTTGGCTTGGGGTTTACACACGGGATTTGGATGGCCTGTTCATGGCCACATCCCTGCACATGTTCCACCCAAGGCCAGGCCTGCCCCAGATGGGATGGGAGCTTCCTGGTCCCCTGTGGGAGGTGGGCCTGATCTTCCTGGGATAAATGCCAGCTGCCATGGGATATTTTAAGAGCAACCCCTACCCAGCTGGGCTCTGCTAAGGAAAGTTTCCTGTTCTTGTTTCCAGGCTCTGTATGATCACTTAATGGATTTCCTGGCTGATCGAGGAGTGGACAACACGTTTGCTGATGAGTTAATAGAGCTCAGCACTGCACTGGAGCACCAGGAGTACATCAAATTCCTTGAAGACCTTAAAAGCTTTGTGAAATGTCAGTAGGTTAAACTAGGAAACTTGCCTTTGAGTGTGGGTATTCCACAGCACTGTTCCAGCCAGCAGTACCCAAATATATCTTCACAACAGACATGGAGAGTAAGTAACATTGAATTTGGAGGCTGGGAAAAGGAGGATTCTCACTTGTATTTAGGGATTTGTATTTATGCTGCAGCCCTGATCAAGTTCTCTCTCTGACATAAACGGTCCAGAATTGCCTCACCCTGCTTGGTGGGTTTTGTACAATTAAGGATGAATGTGAAGAATAAAATCGGTTCAACATATCACTGAAAAAAATGGTGGTTTCTCTTCTTCCTGCTCCACCTTTGCTGCCCAGAGAGTGGCCCTAAAACTCCTGCTGGTGTAAGTACATCTGCTCACAGAGCTGCGTGTCTGCTGATACAGCATTTTCTCTGGGGAGAGCTATTCAAGAACCTCCAGCCATGCAGTGTGGCAGAGCTGTGTCTGTAGGAGTGCTGCTGGCCAAGCAGTGCTAATTACGAACATGAATCTCATTCTAGGGATCTTTGCTGTCTGTCTGTCAGGGAAGAGAATTCAGGGTCCTAAGCATCATGTTCAAGGAGTGTTCCTAAAAAGGAATGTGCTGCCGTAATCTATTACATTAATGTTGGTGCAGGAGGTTGGAGCAGTTCAGCTTCAGCAAAAGGACCAAGAGGCTGTGGGTGCTGATGTGGAAGGCAGTGGGGCAGCAGCTCCCATCATCTCCTCAGACTGTTGCCAGTTGTTACCTGAAGGTCACATTAAACAACCCAAAGCTGAAGTTCCACTGTGAGCCCTGAGTTAAACACGACACAAAGTCTGAAATAAAGTATATTTATTGCAAAATACATCCTGTGCCTTTCAAAGTGCGGGGCAGGGCAGCACTGCTGCCTTTCCAGGTATCTGACACAGCAGCTACAGGTATGTACATGAAAATACTAGCAGCTCCAGGGAGGATATTTAGTCTTGAAGTCCTTCCAGTACAAAAGCAGCAGTTGAATCAACTTACAGGAGAATAGTCCAGGAGTCACAGACCTTTACAAAAGGCAAGATGAAAGGAGATCCTAATGTATAAACTGAGTTATTAATGTTCAAAACTTGTCTGAAATGCTCTGCTCCCAACACCGTTCTCATGGTGATTGTAAGTCAGCAGCAAAGCTATAAGGACGTGGGAGCTCCAGCCTGAGCCAAAGGGATGGTGTGTTTTCCAGGAGGTACAGGTGAACCTTCTGAGGAGGCTTAAACTGAAGTAATCCTTAAAACCTTTCCTTGTGAACCACTTACCTGATTGGATGTTCCACACAAGACAAGGAACCTGTTGGCTAACGTGAGACAGGTAAGGCGCTACATGGGACAGGTCCTTGAAAGATGCCCTAGTCCCGCAGTTAAGGTAAGTTGTCCTTTGGCTTTTCACAGTAACTGGTCAAAACTAAAACCATTCCCAAGGAAATCTGTGGAAAAACTCCAGCACAGCCCCCAAGGGTCAATGGACTTGTGGTTCCTGCCCATGTAATTGAGAAGGGGATCCAAGCAGAGATCCTTTCCAGGAAGCTGACATTTAGACTCACCGCACAGCTCATGAGGAGACTGGCTTCTTCCTCCATCCCACTGGTGACTGTGAACTCTGGGCTGTGGAAGCACCTGTAGCTGTGCTCTGTTACAGTGTTTTCTAGGAGTGACCTAAGCTTCCCTTCTGTCATATCCTGAGGAAAAATGGGGTTAATAGAAGGTTTAAACTGGCAGTAGCTTAGACATGCCTTTTCCAGCAGCAGACCTTACAGTGCAGCTCACCTGTGTGCTGATGTATAACCCACACTGGCAAAAAACCACATGGTTCCTCACAGTCAGGTTATTCCTAGAAAGAGCATTCAACAAGCAGCATCAGAACCAAGGCAGATGTTAGCAAAAGCCCCGCTAGATTTAGGAGCTCCTGGTGGGTTTTTTACTTTCTTGAAATTAACACTAGCAGCAGCCTCTCTTTGCCCATTGCTTTCATCTGTTTGTAAGCACAAACTACTGCAGGGGAGCAGAGAATCCCATTCCAGTGTTGAGGACTTTCCTTACTTCCTACACACTGGGCAGATGATCTTGTCACTGGCATCCAAGCCATCGAGCATCGCGTTGAGGCATTCCTCATCAAACTGCAGGCTCCGCTCGTACTCTTTCATAACCAGCTGCTCTGCAATAACACAACAGAACACCCTCAGGCACCTGGTATGGACTCAAGACAAAGCTGCCCAAGTGGAGCTGCTGCAGAAGCAAGGGCTAGGGCGGCCACTGGTTTCAAAGACCTCTTCTTTCCTTGGATCAGGTTTCTACCTGATGAAATCAACCCATTTTGTCCCTATGGATCAATCTTTAACCCGTCTCTGGTGACTTTCGAAACATTCTGAATTGATTTATACAGGTTCCTACTGCTCCCCAACACCTCAGCCCTGTTTCTGTGCTCTCCTCTCTTACTAGCTTCTCACAGATCTGAAAATGCCGTTTAAATTGTCTATAACGTATTCAGTGCATTAGAAAGGCTACAAAGGCTCTTCCCCTATAGCAGGTGGGCTTCAAGAACCAAGGAGTGCAGCCTCAGCTGGTCTGGATTACTAGAGAGGAGCAGCAAAGCTCAAACAGGAGTCAGAAAACACGTAGTGACTTTACCTTGCAAGATCAGCTCTTGCTGGATCTCCTCCAGCACCGCCAGCTCATCGGGATCCTCCAGCATCTGGGGAAGACACATCCCAGTGATCCAACCATCCTGGCTGCTGTCCCAACACCAATCCACTCTGTGTGTTCTTTGGTCTGTAAATCTCTATTTGCCAAACCGTGCCCCGCGGAAAGCAGCCTATTTGACAGCACCCGTGCAGAGCCGGCCAGGATGGGTCAGGACCAGGACACAGCCTCTCCTGCTTTTTAAAACACCCATGTTTTATCCCTGCTCTCGGGAGTGGGAAGCGACAGAGCAGCTCTAAAAACCACTGACGGGGAACCCACCCCCTGCGTGATTCACGGTTTCTGAAGGGAGGAAGCACGGAACTTCCCACTCACGGGCGCACAGGCGCTACCAGCGCTGCACCCCACGTTACAGCTGCGGAGCGGGAACCCCAAACGCTCCGAGTTTGCCAGCCCCGAACAGCCCCAGCCCCATTCACACAGCGATGCCCCTGACCCGCCCGCACCCCGCAGGGAGCCGGTACCGACCTGCGGCAGCGCCTCCGTCCCGCCGAGGGCCTGCAGCGTCCGCCACTCCTGCTCCATCACCTCCCGCACCAGCGCAGGGCCGCTCGGGCTCTCCCCGGCCCGGCGGTACCGCTCCAGCAGCTTCGCCCGGCTGCTCCTCAGCCTCTCCATGCAGCGCTGGGAGCGACAGACACACGGGGCGCGTCAGCGAACGGAGCGAGGAAGGGAGGGAGCCGCGGCCGCCAGACGGGCAGAGTCCCCTCCCGTCCCGTCCCGTCCCGTCCCCACTCACGAGGCGGTAGGTCTCCTTCCAGGGCGGCGCGGCCCGGCCCTTGTACCGCGCTCGGCTCCGCCATGGCGGCGCCTCCATCGCCCGGGCGAGCGGCGGCGCAGCTCTGCCGCGGGGCACGCCGGGAACTGTAGTCCCGGGGCGGAGAGAGCGGCCATTGCTGGCGATGGCGGCGGGGGGCGGCCTAGGGGAGCAGTGGCGCTCGGCCCTACCGCAGCATGAGGTGCTCAGCCGCCTCCGGGAGCGAGAGGCCGCCGACCCCGCCGCCGCCCGGCCGCCGGTCATCCGCAACCTCCTCTTCGGCCTCGATGGAGACCTCTTTCTCTGGGACAGCGAGAACAGCGCCCTCCACACCATCGGCCTGCGCCGCCTCGGCGGGCCCGAGGCCGCGGGGCTCAGCCGGTACCAGGTAGTGGGGGGCTCCCGAGGGACCGCGGGCGGTTGTGAGGGGAGGAGGAGACCGTCATGGGGAGTGGGGCTAGAGAGACATTGAGGGGCTGGAGCGGGGCCAGAGAAGGGCAATGGAGCTGGTGCAGGGCCTGGAGCACAAGTGTGATGGGGAAGGGCTGAGGGACCTGGGTCAGTCTGGAGAAGGCTTGGGAAGACCTTATTGCTCTCTATAACTGCCCGACAGGAGGATGGAGCCAGGAGGGGCTGGGCTCTGCTCCCAAGGAACAAGGGATGGGACAAGAGGAACCGGCCTCAAGCTGCACCAGGGCAGGTTTAGATGGAGCTGAGGAACAATTCCTGCCCCAGAGGGTGCTCAGGCATTGGAACAGGCTGCCCAGGGCAGGGCTGCAGTCACCGTCCCTGCAAGTGTTCACACAGCGTGGAGACGAGCCCTCAGTGCCATGGGTCGGTGGTGGCCTTGGCAGTGCTGGGGAATGGTTGGACTGGGTGAGCTTAAAGGGCTTTTCCAACCTGGATGACTGCGATAAAGATGTGCCGTGCTTCTGGGAGTGCTTTTGGTGGCTTGTGCTTAACTGATGTATTTGTATTTTCAGACCCTGATGTGCATAAACCCACCCCTGTTCGAGGTTTATCAGACGCTGTTAAGCCCCTTGCAGCATCATGTGGCGCTCATCGGCACCAAGGGGCTCATGGTGCTGGAGCTGCCTAAACGCTGGGGGAAGAATTCAGAGTTTGAAGGTGGGAAATCCACGGTGAACTGTAGGTGGGTGAGACCTCAGGTGGTTAACGACACCCTTGTCCTGCCCCTGTGCCTTTGCAGCCTCTCCTGCCTTGGGCACCAGTGGGTAAGGAAGACATTGGTTGTGTTGGGGTTGTAGGGACAATCACAAATGAAGTTAACTTGCCTCAGGGAGTTGCTGATTGTTAAGTGACCCACATAAATCACCTCCTTAATAGGGTGCAGTTGCTGAGGAGCTGAGTCTTCCTCTGTAGTATTCTCTATTCTTTCTGGAGTCTTTTAGCCATGCTAGCTAAAAGCATACACCCAGACGGAAATAACACAGGCTCCAAGTGAAAGTTGTAACTCCAGCTTTAAGAATAATACAGCTAATGACTTTGAAACCTTTTAATTGGGTTCCTAGCTCCTCTTGCCTCCCCCTTCCCCTTCGAAGTAACTTGTGTGTGTTTTGTAACAGTGCATATCTCTGCTGTGTATTTCAGCACTGTCCCCATTGCGGAAAGGTTCTTCACAAGCTCAACATCTCTGACTTTAAAGCATGCTGCCTGGTATCCCTGCGAGACACTGGAGCCCCATATTGTGCTCTTAACTTCAGATAACACTATACGGTAAAACCTGATTGTAGTTTATTATCAAAGGGTGTTTTTGTCGTAGCCAGTCTGATTCTTCGCTAGATACTTGTGTCCTGCCATTGCTACCAGGATTACCAGTAAAAAATAGGATGGGATAGATTTTAGACTTACAGCAACTGTGCAACACCACCTGTTGAATGACCATTGCTGCGTTTCTTTCCCCTAGGTTTTACAGTCTGAAGGTACCTCACACACCCATCAAAGTGATTGCTCTTTCAGACACAGAGGAGGAGACTTTTACAATCAAAAAAGGGTTTGTGTGGCTTCTTGTATTCTTGTATTTTGAAATGCTTTTGACAGAATAAGCTCTGTGTTCTCAGCTGTGTTTTTAACGAGTAAGTGATAAATTTGCCTGGAAACCTGATGTGATGGGGTTTTTTCCTGGACTTTTTCAGCAGCAACTGCACTTCTTCTTGGTTTTTTTTTTTCTTTTCCTTTTTTTCTCATCCTGAAAGTGGTAACAAACTGTGCAGTCAAGTGTTTGTCAGAGTAGTCATGTGAAAAACACACCTTGTCTCTCAGATGGGGCTATGAAGGGCTTTCTGAGTGAGGAGTGCACAAAGTAGCTCCTTTTTTTAGTTCCCTCTTGGCCTACTTAGGAAATAAGAACTTGAGGGTCTTGGTAGTCAAGTCACAGACTGACACAGGAAATACCAGTATGCCCATCTCTTCTGTCCTGTGAAATGGGGCTGGCTGGTGGGTGTATTGCAGAAATGAGGCACTATGAGAAGGATGTTACTCACATGCTTTTGCTGCTGAAAATAGCACGTGTCCAAGGACTGATGGGCAGGTGTTTGGTAATCTGTCAGCACGTACCCATGGTCTAGTTAAACACTCGTGTCCTTAGAATTGTTGATAACTTCAGGTCTTGTTCTCACTTGTGCCCAGGAGAGCCTACACAGCATCACTGGGGGAGACCGCGGTGGCGTTTGACTTCGGCCCACTGGTGCCAGTCCCAGAGAACACACTGGGACAGCGAGGCAGTGACGAGGTGCTGGCCTATCCACTTTACATTCTGTATGAAAATGGAGAGACATTCCTCACCTACATCAGCCTGCTGCAGAGGTAGGATCATGTTCCTCATCAGGTTTCATCATGTTCATCATCAGGGGTGCTTCTATGTCTGTACAGTATTAGGGCTGGAGAGCCATCTCTTGGTTTGGGTGGGACTCTGTAAAGGATGCTGGGCCAAGGTTTATTGTATTGCAGCCTGGTTTATCTCTTTATGTCAGTGCTAATAGGCTGAAATCCAAGTATGTTTGTCCTCCTTTTTCATCTAGGTATTAAGTGTGCAGTTTCCACTGCTGAGAATTCACTGTCCATTATTTACCATCAGAAATCCAAAATGAAGACACCAGACTGTTAGAAGATCAGCAGGTCTAAGGGTGCTAAGGGTATTTTAGGATCTCCAATTCACAGTGCAGACACCCTTAGCTTAGTGGCATCTTAGGAAAGAAAGATTTTAAGATCATAGAGGGTTTGCAGGCATGTTCCATGATGATATGTAAGAATGTGAATCAAGAATATAAGCCCAATATAAGAAAATGTTACTTCAGAAAACTGAGAAGATGGTGGAAAACTTAAAGTTGGATCTAGTATAACTGAATATTAAACCGTGGGGTATTCTGGTTTGAAGCAGCACCATTTGCTTGTGCACAAGAAATACTGCAGCACCGAGCAGATCCTGTCTGTAGGCAATGAAATGGTCTCAGTTCTTCAAAAGTTCTACCAAGAGAAATGATGTGCTGCAAAATGCTGCTTATGCTTTAACAAGTAGAAAACCAATTAGGTGTTTAAGGTAATGAACCTTTAGTAATGAATCTTTCATTTTTTTGCAGTGTAGCTTGGTTGCTTTCAAAGCATAAAACATTATTACTGACCTCCAGTTTCTTTGACATCTCCACCAAGTAGTTGTTGTTCAGGCTCAATCCACAGAAGCCTGGGCTGCTGCTGGCTCACAGAAATCAGAACTAAAACCACAGGGTTGTTTGGGTTTTGGATTATTTTTAAGTCATCCTTATCTTGTAGTTATTGTGCAGCAAACTCTCGCAGGTAACTATGGGGAGCTCTCCTTCCACACCTCACCTTGTGAACACATCTTTATTCCAGCACTGGGAATCTTGGCAAGCTGCTTGGGCCTCTGCCCATGCACCCTGCGGCAGAAGACAACTATGGCTACGATGCTTGTGCTGTCCTTTGCCTGCCCTGTGTTCCAAACATCCTGGTGATTGCCACCGAGTCGGGAATGCTTTATCACTGCGTGGTACTGGACGGAGAAGAGGATGATGATCAGGTATCTTGTCCTGGCGTTCTTTTTGTCTACACACATTTTTGTTTCTTTGCTTCCTGGCTGCCAAGATGGCAGGATGCCCACAAGTGAATGCCAAGTGCCAAAGCTGCATTCTTCTGTCATGAGGTAGTGAGCCTTCCTCCTCTTCCAGGCAGTCCCTGGGATTCTCTGATGCTTTTCTTCTAAGTGTCAGATCTGTGTATGCTGATGGTAGATCAGATTTTGATCAAACTTACTATGAACTGTTTTAAAGAGAATCTTCTAAGAAGAAACTCTGTTTCTGAGATGGTTTTTAAGTGGGGAAAAAGAAAAGGACTTGAACTGTCAGTTAATCCTCTTGCCTGTGCTATGTGACCCTTGATGTTGTTTATCTTGGGATGTCTGTTTAAACGACCTTGCACAGAAGAATTCATTGCTCTTTACAGTCAGAAAAGTCATGGGACCCAAGATCTGATACTATTCCTTCCCTGTACGTGATTGAATGTGTTGAGCTGGAACTTGCACTGAAACTGGCATCAGGAGATGAAGAGGAGCCTTTAGAATCTGACTTCTCTTGCCCAATCAAATTGCATCAAGGTAGGGCTGGTTTTCAGGTTATTGGATTTACTGGTTTTATTTCATGTTTTTAGGATCAAGGTACTTATAAATTATCATCTGTGTCAAACAAAGGGGTGTTAAAATAAGAATTTGATGTCTTCAGTAAAGCTGTAGAAGGAGCAAGCCTGGGAGGTGCTTTAGTGTTCATTGAAGGGCAGATTACAGATGGTCACATACTACTAAATTCTTTAATGTGTATTATAAAGTAGAATTTGTTGCATCTGTGTGTCAGCAAGTGCTGTGGGGTGGTGATCCTGAGGGAAGAGTCAGTGCCTGCTGCTTAGACTCTGATATAAATGTGTGGCAGGAGGCTGGGTAGCAGAGTGTTTGGGTCTTTCTAAACAAGAAGCTTGTCACAATGCTCATCTGCTGGCTTTAACTGATCTTCCCTTTAAAATCCAGTGGATAGATACAGGTGTGGGGGAATAGGAATAGTTCAAAACAATTCATCAGGTGTTTCAAGTGTAATTATATTTAATGCAGAACTCTAATAACGTGACCAAAGCATCAAGCTCAGTTTTTGGATGGGGATGAGTTAGCACTTGTAAGGTGTTAGTGCTGACTGAACAATAAGTTGATGCACATGCTCAGCGCTGCAAGTTCCAGTGGTGGGTTTTTCTCAGTTCAGTGCCTTCTCCTACGTTTCGTGTTTCAATTTCAGATCCGAAATGTCCCTTTCGCTACCACTGCACACACGAAGCTGGTGTCCACAGCGTGGGGCTGACATGGATCAACAAACTGCACAAATTCCTTAGCTCAGGTGAGTGGTGAGACCATTGCACACAGAGGGAAGAGAGTGCTACTGAACACCTGTGTTCTGCTAGCAGCAAGTTGGTAGATGGGGGTAGTATTGAGAATCCCTTACTGTGCAAAGCAGATCCGAAGCATTCTGACAAATCTCTTTGTAGATGAAGAAGACAAAGACAGTTTACACGAGTTGGGAGCAGAAAAGTGCTTTGTTGAACATATTCTTTGTACAAAACCGTTGCCATGCAGGTAAAAAACTCTTTCTATTGCTTCCAAACCAGTGAGTTGCTATGGAAAGTATGATTTGCCCTCTTTTGCTGCACTCTTTCCATTAAAATTAATGCAGTCAGCTCCAAAGAATGCAAATAACACAACTAAGCACTTTGTGCATCAGGAACAAAACTCTTTTGACTGGGTAATTTTTGTGCTTTCTTCCCTGCAGGCAGCCTGCTCCAATTCGAGGCTTTTGGATTGTTTCTGACATCCTGGGATCCACAATGATTTGCATCACAAACACCTATGAGTGTATTACGAGGCCTCTCTTGTACGTGGGTCTGAATTGGTTTGAAATCTGTGGCTGTTGCGTGAAAAGGATCTAAGGATATTATTTCATTGCTCTACTATTTCTTTCACCCCAGCCATATGCATGTCCCGTGACACACAGGGCAGTCTGCCTCCTGAACACCCTGGCTGAGCACTTAAGTGTTATTATACTAGTTACTTGCTACTGATAAGGTGTTTGTAGCACTTTTAGTGAGTATTAGGACTAGAATTGCATCTAAAGGTTCTTGAGGGTGTTGTTGATTTTCCTTCATTGTTACCATGAGGAATCTGAACCAAAACCTTGTTTACAGCCAGTACAAAGATTCTGAATGAGCACCAGGGTGATGTTTGCTGTAAAGATAAAAAAAAATGGGTTCTTAAAAGTGCCTTAAAGCAGTGGGATTTTAGTAGCCATTTCCAAAGCCACTGCACGTTGGGAGTGGTGGGAAGGATCCAGACTCTCATGGTAGATTTGCATAATGAATGAATGCACTGAGGGGAAGGCATTGTTTTGGGTTTGTTTACTGCTAAGAACACTCTTCAATGTGTGACAGGTACCTTCAGCTGGTGTTAATGTCAGCTTCTTGCAGACCTTTCATTATTTTAACTACTTATGCAGTGCTTTTAAATAGGTTTTTCTATCAGCTCTTTTAGACCCCATTATCAGAATCAACACCAGTGAGCAGTGATGCAGCAGGCTGCTTTGAAAAGCAGGTCATGCCCCTATTCAAGGGGCGCTCGCATTGTTATGGAACTCTGTTCTTGAGTAAAAGGATATTTATGATTCTTGCTAGTTTCAGCTGTGGCCAAGCAGAAAGCTGTGGGGATGTGACGCCACTGACCTATAGACCTGGATTTACCACCTGGAATAGTCCCTCTTAGACTTGCTGCTGTAATACATTAATTCCACAGGGGTTGACTTCCTTTAAGTACTGTTTGACATGGTTTGAATGTTTCTGGCTTAACCTGTGTTCTCCCATTTGATGCTCTGCTAGAAGTACAGTCCATCCTGCATCCCCTCCACTGCTGTGTACCAGGGAAGACAAGGAAATTGCTGTTTGCCCTCTCCGTAGCCTCGCTACATCACAGCATTCATTTGAGAAGCATATCCGAAGCATCCTGCAGCGCAGTTCTGCCAATCCCTTGGTTCTGAAGTAAGCAAATATGTTTTCCCAGGGAAGGCTTTCAGGAATAATGCGTGTATAGCAAAGGGATTTAATTGTAGCCCCTCACTTCCATAACAGCCCTGCTGAGCCCTCACCATAAATACTGCAAGTTGTTTATCCTTGCAAAGGGCCGTGTTGGAGTAAGATTGCAATCCCCTGTCTTATATTATTCAGGTCTGCTGATAAAGATGCTGCTCCTCCCCCTGAAGAATGCCTTCAGCTTCTTAGCAGAGCCACCCAAGTGTTCAGAGAGGAATACATACTGAAACAGGATCTGGCAAAGGAGGAACTTCAGCAAAGGTAATACAAACCCCTCATAACTATGGGCTGTACAGCATTTGTGAAAGAACAGCACTAAGTACTGAGCACTAAACCTCTGCTGGACTAACCCGTGTAAATGAGTAAAATGTACTCGGGTAAGACTGCTTCTTCACATCAGAGTTACGCTGCAAAGTTAGAGCAGAAGGGAGGAGTTTATTCCCACCACTGCCCATCCTTTATTGTCTTTAGTTCTTCATAATCACTTCTGTCCTAGTGTCTGTGTAGCATAAACCCCAACTGCACTGGGTTGCTGCTGGGGGTGATCTGATTTTATGTTTTTATTTTAAGAGTGAAGCTGCTGCGGGCACAGAAAGAGAAACAACTGGAAGAGCTTAATTACTGTCGAGAGGAAAGGTGAGGCTCGTGTGTCTGCTTTCCCAAGTCAGAGCTCAGCAATGCAAGTGCTTCATACAGGGGCCTGCGTGCAGTAAGAAGCAAATGCGGGTCTGGCTCTTTGCCCTGTCTCTCACCTTTCCTGTGAATCTAAATAGATGTTTCTCACTTGCATAAAGGAAAAGCCTGCGGGAAATGGCCGAGCGCTTGGCTGACAAGTACGAGGAAGCCAAAGAGAAGCAAGAAGATCTTACGAACAGGTGAGTGCAAGCTGTGCTCTGTTTCATCACCGATTGCTTGCTGTTAAGTAGGGGTCTGACAGAACAGGGTGGGCAGAAAGTGCTCAGTTAGAATCCAGGGTTTCTGCACTTCTCTTTGCTGGGGCTCAGTGGTGATTTTTCAGTACAACTTGAGGCCCAGGCTGAGCCAGCTCATGGTTTAGAAATCCCCTGCGAGAGGAGCTAAAAGGGGAAAGTCAAGTTGTGAGCCCCTGACACTCAGAACAGCAACAGCAGCACAAGGCTGGTGGTGTCTTAGCAGTAAGGTCATTCAGTGATGTTTCTTGCTTTGTACACCAAGGATGAAGAAAGTACTTCGGCGTTTCCACTCTCAGCTTCCTGTTCTGTCAGACAGTGAAAAAGACATGAAGAAAGAGCTGCAGACAATACATGACCAGCTGCAGCACCTGAGCAATGCCATCAGACAGGTGAGAGCATGTGTCACTGTACCCACCTCACTCACACCCTGTGATAGTGCTGGTAGAACAGGGTCCTTCCAGTGGAGCAGCTTTGTGCTTAAATTAGCAGCAACGTACTAAACTAACTTCTGACCTCGTTATTCCTACAGAGAGACCCTCTGCAGCCCAGTATAAACCCTGAGAAAGCCTACACACCCCCTCCATAGTTGTAGCAGTAACATCCTCCTCTTTCGGGGAGTAAAGTCCAAAAGCAAGCAGGTTTTAACCCAATCACGCTGTGCTACACCAGTTTGTGACTGTAAGCAGCTTTCACTTTGGCAGCCAATGCCACCACTAACTGGGGTGTTCTTTTTGTACGTAACTTCCAGGTTAAAATGAAAAAGGAGTATCAGCAGAAAAAGATGGAGAGGGGTTCCCGCCCCCGAAAACCCAGCATTAGCCTCAGTGCCTACCAGAGCAAGTGCATCCAAACCGTCCTGAAAGAAGAGTAAGTTAAAGCTTGGATCCTCCTGTAGAATTCAAGCCCTGGTACTTACAAAAGCAATTCCAGTCGAGTTTCTGGGGTATGGTTTAAGCTCTGTCCTGCAGGAAGCGGGATCACTGATGCACCAGCTGGAGCTTGGCAAGAGGGGCTGAAGTATAATATAAGCTGTGCCTGTGTGTGACAGCAGCACTGGCCATCTTGTGCTGGTATTAAACTAAATCTGCTTTAAGTTGGCTGTTTGCCCAGGGATCTTTCGGCAGTCTGTGTCCAGCCCATAATTAACACAATGACTTGCAGCTCTTCCCGTTTTCTGTATTTCCCTGCCTGGTAAGCTCTGAGCAAATGACTTGCACCCTCCTGACTTGGATTTCTTTTTCCTGAAGGGGAGAACACATAAGGGAAATGGTCAAACAGATCAACGACATCAGAAGCCATGTGAACTTCTGACGCTCCCTGGCTGAGGAAGCTGCACCAGAAGACTGGATAAGCTTTAATGTTCCCTGTTATTTGCCGTTGTATATTTACCAGCTGTACGTTGAGCAATACAGCTTTCACTTACTGTTTTGTGAAGCTGGACTGTTAAATAAGATACTTTTGATGAGATTCCTTACATACTGTGTTCTTTGCTTTTCTCCTGGGAAGGAGGCACGTTACACGGTGCCTGTTCCAAGGTGCAGTACTTACAACTAGCTCTGCAGTGTGGGAATTGCTCCCTGGGGTTATTCTGGGAGACTTCTCCCCCCTTGGTCCAAGGTAGGGGAGCTCTGTGGCTGAAGGCAGAGGAGAAAGACCAGAGAGAAGCGCACACACTTCAGCAGCTCTTTTTAATTTGGAACACTTTCTTCATAAAGGACACACCTTCAATACAGTTAACAAATGGTTACACACGAATCCTGAGGACAGCAGAACTCTACACCCACGATTGCACGGGACACCAATGGCGTGGCTCACCGGAATGCAGTAGTAACTTCCAAACACTCAGTTTGCCCTTAGCAAAAGATGGCTCCAAAGTCTTAACTGACAGTAAGTCAATTATTTCCCTTCTGTAGGCAAATGTCAGTGGACAATAAATAATTGCTGTCCACTCACCCCAACCCCTTAGAAAAGGTGACATGGTCAAGCTCAGTTTTGAAAAGTAGTACTGCACTGCTACGAAAGTGGCACAGCAAGAGGTGCCCCAGTAAAGCTGAAGGAAGGGGGCTGCTAGTACCTGCTGGGTAACGAGGGTACCAGGCATGCTGCAAGAACACTTGGGTTTTTGTACAGATTAAGACTATACAAGTAGAGGAATGCATTCAAAACTTGATCTCATCCCTTTACAGTCTGCAGGAACAGCATCCAGTTTTCTAGGCCACTCACCCTGTGTGTTGTGGCTGACCTGCCTGGTCAGCAGTGCCTGTTGAGAATCTCTTACTAACCGCAAAGAACCCACCACCCTACTCAGATCATGCTCCAGAACACCAAGAACTGGAGGGAAAAGCATTTGTGTTCTGATGTTTTATGAGCAGTAACACCATAATCCACCCAGTGAGTATCTACACCACGAGCTTTCACTACACTTAATTTACAGTCTCTTAACTTTGCTTTGCAAGTTTGGCACATGCTATTTTGTTTTTAAAGGCCCTTTTAAGTCTCTTGAGTTGCTGCTTCTGAAGCTGTTCTCCCCTTCCTGGGGAGGGAGAGCCCCTCTGGGGCAGGACAGCTTTGCAGTGAGCACGGCTCCCACTGCCCCTGTGAACAGGCAGGTTTCCAATCAGAAACTGTTAGAAAGGTACAATCTTAAGTTGCAGCTGTTGGTAAAAAGGGTCGCTCACGTTCCAGCTCTAACATGGTCACAGCTAGGCCTTAAACAGGAGGAAAGATGTTCAGGTGTGTGATGGAATATGGGGGGTAAAAGGAAACAACCGTACAGTTCTTGTACACCCTTCCTCTCCAACCAAGAGGAAGGTCCTTCACAGACTCGTGCAGTGCCTGGTTTACCAGTGTTTACCAGTGCTCTTATCAGCACTGCAGCCCTACCAGTGCCTCCAGCCTCCTCTAACCAGACCAACCGGCTAGCACTGGCCCCTGAGACCAGCACCGGAGCATGAAGAGCAACACACACACATACAGAACACCATTGGGCAACCACTGTACTTGTTACTGTGTCTCCCCAAAATGACAAACTGATTGGCATGTGCCTGTCTGCCCCACTGGGTTGCAGAGACCCAATGCAACCCTGCAGCCACCAGCAGAAGGCTGACACTGCTGCACCTATGGAAAGCCATGTCACCAAGCTGTGAAATGCACTCAGGGAAAGCCACACCAGGCCTGGACTGGTTGAAACAACCTAAACTGGTCAGCTCTGATCCCTGTTGTTGGGGCAGGGCTGCTGAGGATGGGCACGGACACAAGAGCCAGGAAGGGATGCTGAAAGGCAGTGACCAGCCACTTCCCTTGCTCTCCTGCTCTAGGAGCATGGCCAGAAACTCAACCAAAATCTCTTTTTCTGCATAAGTCTTCAGGGTGCAGTTCCTCACATCCAGCTTGCTGAAGAGCTGTACAGGATTTGGTGTAGTTTTGCTATACAACACTTAAGGCTTCCTTAAATAAACACTGCTGCACAGGTACCAGTAATGGTTACGAGTTAGTTTTTGGGAAGAAAGGGAACAGAAAAAGCTCTTGTTTCTGCAGCTCCTCATAAAGGCCTGTAGGATTTTTCTCCAAAGTTTACTCAACAGAACGGAACTGTCAGAAAACTGAATGCAAAACATCTGGTATCAGATCTGTGCATCAGGACACAGCTGCTGTCACCTCACCTTTCAGCAAGTAGTGAGAAAGGTTAAAGAAATCGTGGTAATAGCCAATTAATAAAGAACCTGAGCCATATGCAGGCATTAAGTGTCATTTTAAGATGACAACCCTGCCATCTATTAGTCTTGTCATTACTAAGGTAGGAAAAATGACTCTTGGATGTCAGGATTATGAAAGGAATTAGTTGCCAGGGTGAATAAAATGCTTAAATTCTTGCAATGAGTGACAAGCAATTGAGCTTATATGTGTCTTTTGGGCTGGTTTAAGGCATTCGTCTTCAAAACCACTGGTTCTGTTAATAGCAAGATATACGCTACTAAAAATAGGATTTAAGCACTTAAAATACAGTCATGTACATTATAGTCTGAAGCATTTTGTGTCACTTCTCGTTTTCTTCATCACCTTCAGATCTATGGCCAAGTATGTAAAGAAAGAACAATAAGCAAAAGGGGAAAGTTGCAATACAAATGTTGGACAGCAGCAACCTGCTCCTTTGGCCTCCTTTCCTTCAATGAGTGGCAAGTAGGGGCCAGTTCAAGAACTCCCTAAGCACCACCAGCACCATCAACACCTGTAGTCACACCTGAAACTGCTGCTTGCCAGCTGTGGGCACAGCCCTGCTGTGACAAAGGGAGGAGGAATGGTCAGGTTAATAATGGTCATGCCACCACCATGCATCTATAGAACAAGAAATCCAAACCTACCACCCACTGGATCACAAGAACTTCTTGCCTTCGCTGTAATTTAGATGTACAGTTATAAGAATACGGGACAGTCAGCTCTGAGCAATGCCATACTTTAGAGATGCACGGTACCTGTCCAACTTGACCCAGCAGAGTAACACAGCTCCTCCACACTTGTGCTCTGTGACCCAGAGTGCAGTCACCGTTCAGCGCATGCCAGGCTGACCCAGGAGAGGTGGTGGGCCAGGCTGATGCCTCATTCAGCTCCTTACCTTGCTGCTGCCCAGCGAAAGCCACCAACCTCACATCTGGTGTCACCCATGGGAGCAGAGCCAGCCTGCAGCGACCCCATGCCAAAGCTCAGACAATGCATAGGGTCTGTACTAGCTTTGTTTCTTACATAGCAAAGCGATTACAGGTACTGCTCAGCTTTAAGAGATGAAAAAGAACCAGTTGTAGTTCCACATTCTAAATTACAGTTGTGAAAAGAGATTACAAAACAGTGCATTTCTTGTGCTTTTCTTTTAAGTATCAGAATTCAACAGAAAAAACGTCAAGGAGCTAAATTCTCAGTACATTTGTCATCATTTGTTTTTTGGATTAGCATTGTTCTGTTTAGGAGACACAGCTCGCTCGTATCCATCACATCCCAGCAGCATTCAGGTTCTTCAACACAAAGGTCAATGGTTTAAAAAGGAAAAAAAAAAGGGGGGGGGGGGGATAGTACTGAGTTATGAAATAAGATCAATATCCAGTGTCCTGCTAATAAAGTCATATTTTAATATAAAATATTCATACAGCATACTCTACACCTCATTCTCTCTGCTAGCTGAATACTGTTACCGACTAGTCAAACAGAAAAACTTCAACCACTTTGCTCTTCAATATTTTGGAGGGACAATATGGTTTCCAGCAGCTACTTTGATCACAGTAGTGGGGGGAAAGGAAAGAGGGAAAAGACAAAGGGGTAAATGTTCCAAAACTCTATATTAGGTTATGGAGTCGGCTGAAAGGAGAAGGTTTTCAGAATGTAAGGACTGATCCCACTCAGTGGAACGCGAAACACCACACGCATTAGTGTTTCCATTAGAAAGTTCTCCTTCCTACACTGCAAGTCACCCTTGTGCTCTCTTCCTGCCCAGTACAAAACCTTTTTCCCCCTCTAGAAACAAAACTTAAGTCATTGCTCCCCTCTGTTGTCTTCTGCTCTTTCGGTTAGAGTTAAATAATAATTAATGTTGCTATAAAGATGAGTTAAAAACCCCAAACGCAGCCTTGGAGCCCGCTCATCAGGGTGTCATGTTTCAGGAAGCTGATTAATGTCCGTCAGTTTTGTGTCGTTCAGGATTGCACGGATTCTCTCCAGGGAATCTGCCTGCCGGATCCGCTCCAGCTGCACCTACAGGGAACCAACAGACAGGGCTGAGCTGCTGAAACATGCTGCTGCAGAGCCAGCTGAACAACCGCCGTGTTAGCAACCCTGGTACCCACGCAGGCAGAACTGAAAGCAAAGCATCAGCTGAGAAATACGAGGCATGAAGGAGCACAAGCCTGCAGAACCGAGAACAGGAGGATGGGAGACAGGAGGAAGTTTTGGCTTTACAATTAAAAGCCACTTTCTGGGGGACTCAAGCAGGCCTTTGTCATCACTCTCTGTTTTGCCCAAGAATCAGTCACTGACACCAACCAAAGTGGCCGGGCGAACAGGAGGAGACGTGCAAAGCAACATAAACTTGCACAAAGAACACATAAAGGAAATGCAGAGCTGCCTCACACCTGCCTTCAAGCCTCTCAGAGTCAAAGCTAAAACACTCTTTGAGGAAACACCCTATTTCCAAACTCACTCCTACTTGCTTTCCTGATAATCTCTCTTGAGCTCCTTCTTACATGCTGACAGAGTGCCCAGCAGCACTGTGTGGAAATGAATGCAGAGATCACAACTTCTTATTTAGTATTTCACTTCTTGCATTGAAACTTTCACATTCCTTCTACCAGGATCTGGGCTTTCAGCTGTAATTCCCAAGTAGTGGTTAACTGATGTTCAGCCTTTCCTCTCCATTGCTGACATCTAATTTGGCCAGTGGACATCTCACACAAGTGATACTCACCCAGGCTCTGCTGATGAGGACAGGAAGGAAATAACCCTGTGGAGCTATCAAGAAACCAAAATCCTCATTCAATGGTAATCTCTTGTGTTACACAGCAGATCTTACATCACATTTTGTGATGGCACAAACCATGGTTTAAACTGAAAGCACTCACTGCTGATGGGTGATAACTGCTGATGGGTGACAGAAAACACAAACCCCAGAGCTGCAGCACATGGGCTGAGCTCACTGAAGGCCTGCACGTTTGGAAGAGTGCACCACACAACTTCAGTGGTGAACCTGGTTTTGTTCTTAAGAACTATGTAATGCAGTGCAAGCAGTACTCAACAAAAAATAGAGGATGATGACAAACTAGAAGGAACTTCACTGGTCAGGACAGCTCAATAGCCTCCTTTGTCCTACCTACTCCTCCAGAATCAGCCAGAACAAAAGAGGACAGTTCCTAGTGTCCGTCCAGCTAAACTCTGCTGGGTAAACAATCTCACTCTATTCCTTATTTTAGTTTTGCAAATAAACCTGAATATTTGACTCAGACAAGTTGTATTTTTAATTCTGCTGAATTTCACTGAGCAGAATGGCCAAGAACTCAGAGAAGACAGTGCTGGAGTTCAGCACTGCTGCTGTGAGCAAGGATGCTGGTAAGCAGCAATGTAAGGGGGGCCCACAGACCCTGAAAGTGAGACCCATCTCTCCTGGCTTCCCAAGGAGCCAGTCAGTCACTCCACAGACACCAACACTGCAGGTTCCTTCCTGCTCTCCACACTGTTTAACAGAGAAATCAGCCTGACATACTGGAATGAGCCTTCCTTCCTTCAGCCACCTCTTGGTATCTCATCACAAAACATCGGCTTCACTTTTCAGAGGGAATACAAGGATAATGAACAGCAACAACAGCAAGGATAGACTTTTAGACAGTATAAATAAATCAGTAATTATAACACAAAGAACTATACCATATATTCATATCAAACAGCACAAGTTTCTCACTTTGTCCTCAAATATTTGTACCTTAATGATTTGCTATGAAAAATAACATCCCAGAAGACATCAGGAGATGGACAATGAAATGCTGGGATCTGAAAGTACCATCACTCATGGCTCTCTCCACTTTCTTTTAGTACAGTAATTGTGTATCTTTGATGCTGAGAATCGGTTGGAATCAAGTAATCAGAATAAAATCCCCATTAGGCTTTAACAGTAATATTGTCCTAGGAATACTTGATCAGTTTAGTATACCAATACCTTTAAAAATAGTTCATAAATACTAAAGTAAGAAAATTTACAACTGCTACTTCTTGTTTTACCCAGCTGTGGAGAAGTAAAGCAACAAAAGCAGCACCTTACAAATTGGTTGCACTTCCCTTACCTGAAGCGTCTGAGAAAGCTTTACAAAATCTCTCTGCACTTGCTCACTGACATCTAATTCAGTCTGCAACCGTTGAGCTTTATTCTTCTCTTCAAATACCAGCTGTTCCAGGTTTGCCTGAGGAGAAAAAGATTCTTTATGCTGTCTTTAAACTGAAGTAAAAAGGAGACGCTCATACAAACTGACTAAAGCATGATACTACAGCAAAGCAGTGTGGTTACCCTCAGAGCCCTGGCAAGAAATGAAACCGCTTGCTCTTTCTACACCTGTTTTCCTAACTGCAAAATCAGGGGCTAATACCCATCAAACATCCTCATTAGACTGGTTAAAGCATGAAAATGCCGCATGTCTTTTAACAGCACTATGTCCAAGGATCTCAAGGTGAAAAAACAGACTTCTGAGTCTGTCCTGGATTCAGCAGTAGCAGTCATTTTTCTTCTTCATAGTAGCTGGTGCAGTGCTGTGTTTTTGACTTTCAGCCTGGGAACAACGCTGGTAACTACAAGTTGTTGCTAAGTAACATTTACTCCAACCAAGGGCTTTCTGAGTCTCATGCTTTGCCAGGTAGGAGGGGAAGCCGAGAGGAAGCAGAGACAGGACGCCTGACCCAAACTAGCCGACGGGCTATTCCATACCACAGCACATCATGCCCAGTATAGAAACTGGGGGCAGTTACCCAGAAGGGCTATATCGCTGCTCAGGTCGGGCTGGGTATCGGTAGGTGGGTGGTGAGCAGTTGTATTCTCTTCCCTTGTTATTTCCCTTATCATTATTGTTATTGGTGGTAGCAGCAGTGGTTTGTGTTATACCTTAGTTACTGGACTGCTCTTATCTCAACCCCTGGGAGTTACATTCTTTCAATTCTCCTCCCCATCCCTCCAGGAGCAGGGGGAGGAAGAAGGGGGCGGTGAATGAGCAAGCAGCTGCGTGGGTCTGAATTACTGGCTGGCCTTAAACCATGACAGAGTCTTAATGAAAGATGGCCAGAGATGAAGGGCACTAATCTGCTGATAAACATACAACCAGTTTGCCGTCTCGAGTTTTAGTCAAGTCTTTGGGACGGGGGAAAAAACAACTCACTACCAAAACCAATAGAGAGAGACAAATCTATCACAATTAATGTATCTGGCCACCAAGGTAGGGCTTCTTCCTACAGCAACAATGAAATGACATTCATTCAAAAGCATCAAAGTTTCAAACCCAGGTTTGGTTCATCAGGATGTTTCCTATATGCAGAAGTGCTACTGAAGCCTAACTTGGGAAGCCAATCCCAAAGAGATTCAACTTAGCAGCAACTCAGATCCACCACTTTACAAATCCAAGTGCAAAGTGGCTGGGATGAGGATTTAAACTGCATCTTGTGGACACCATTTCAGTGCCAGAATCTTATCAACATTCAAAAGCTGCTTTCTTTATTCTTACACAGTGACACATTCTCTGACCACAGTCTGACCATCACAGAAGATGCATATACACCTCACAGCCAGACATCACAGCTACCTTTGCTGCTGTCTCCTTCTTCAGCTGTTCTTCTAGAGTGGTTTTTGCTTCCTGCAGACTCTCCAGCTGCTGCATGTTCTCCTGCGAAGAACTTTCCAACTATATTATAATAATAATAAAGAAAGTATTAACTAAGCATCCCAACATTTCAATTTCTCACAGACCCTCCTTACAGGAAGTACAGCCTAAGAGTCCTTCCCAGTATTCAGAAATACACATAAATAATCTCTTCAAAGGACACAGAAAACACCTCATGACATCTCTTTTTCCCCATTTATTTGGCTTTGGGGTTGGAGAGCAATGGCCAAACCTGACACTCAGGTTATTATTTGGTAGCCTAATATTAGTTAGGAATTATTTAACAAAGTATTGAAGTTACAGATTAACAAACAGACCAAAAGCTCTTAAGTAACAAAACAATGAATGTGACCCAGTCCTACATGGGCATCAGTTCAGCTATTCTGTCCCTTAGCATTCCAGGCACAACCTTATGTGTTTCCTTTGAAACAGGCACAAAAGCTACATGGGTGCAGATAGGAAACAAGTTCATTTTCTCTGATATGCAAAGGTTGATGTGAAAGACAACAACAGTGGCACTGACAGAACTAGCAGAAAAAAAAGGATCCCACTCTCCCTGTTAAAAAAAAACAACCCACAAAGTAACAAAAAACCCAACAAAAATCCCATGGGCTCTTTACCTGCTCCTTTTCCACTTTTATTCTTTCCAGTTCAGCTTTTAAACTGGAAATGGAAGCTGAAAAACAAGAATGTTAAAGCTTAAATGCAAGAAAACCACAGGAAAGTGGACATACTTCTGCTAGGGAGAATTAAGCATGTGCTACATCAAAGGTAAACAAAGAACTGTACTTTTGTTTTCAGCTGTACAGCTTTCGTGTATCTGCTGTCCAAAAAGGGTGGTATTTAATACTCAGGGAAGTCTGCTTCTCACCAAATCAAGTCTTCACTTATCTTAATGATTTCCAATATTCCTATTTGGAGACTTTTACCCCTGCTGACCTATTTCCTCTTTGCAATTCTCGATTTCCAGCTGCAGAGTTTCTTCTATGTTTTCTTTCAAATACTGCTCAGCTTGAATCTGTTCTTTTAAGAATAAAATCTCTGCCTTCAGCTTCTCCTCAAGGTGATCTGCTGCTGTCCGCACACTGATGATGTCTTCACGGTACTTTAAAATCAGCTCACGGAGCTCCTGAATCAATGATCAGCAAAGATTTGTGTTATGATCTTCAGATACACACACTACTGCATTCACCAGCATACAAGGCAGAGACCATGTTATGCTATCCTGAGGTTTGTCCCCCAACACCAGAGCATCCAGCAATGTGTTAAAACAAAATCACTGTTTGCTTGGCCTAGTAAATGAAGAATGTGTAAAGATCTGCAACTCCAACAAGTTTATGATGCTTTTCCCATGCCTTCACCCCCACCAGTCTTCTAAGCTTGAGTTTAAGGGAGTGGCCATGAACAGTATAATAAGGCTTATCATTGTTCAAGGCTCTGGATTATTACTGGTCCTAATGCCTGGACAGATATTGCAGTGACTGACTTAGTTTCACTTACTGAATCAGTATCTACATCGGAGCCATGGGTCTGACCACCTGTGTGCCAAGTTGCAAAATGCAGCTTAAATTGGAATAAACACACACTCTGCTAACAACAGAGCAATCCTAAGGCCATAGTTAACGCATTGATTATCTATCCACACCCTGCAGCATGCTCATGGCACAGGGGGATCAGCTTGCACATCACAGACGTACAGGGTTAAAATCCAGGTTACTTTCCATTGTGCTATTTGAGTCAGCTTTTTGATAAGGAAGATTCTTCCAGCGGGATCCAGTCACAGGTATTATTTGTGTTAATGACTGTAAAATGTTTTACCTCTGCTGCTTCTGGTAGAATGAAATCTTCAGCTTGCTGTAAGGACACATGCAAGCTATGTTTTCCTTGAAGACTTTCATTATCTTTTTGCAGTCTCACCAACTCTTCTGAAACCTGCTCCCTCGACTGTGTCAGGACAGCCTTTGATGCAAAGAAAAGCATAAATTCTCACTTAGGGTCATGCTCAGATCTCTTCATGCCCCATTTGCTATCACTGCTTTCAAAAGTCTGGTGAATTGATTGGATATTCTTTGTAAAGAAGGGAAACAAAATGCGTGGAACAACAGTATTTCTGGCCTATGCACTAGAAATAAAGGCAAGGTTAACATTAGCTGTACAGGCAGGGAGGTGGAAGCAAGTGATAAACACAGCCTAGTCAAGCCTCACAGTTTCCTTCTGAGCTAGCTGTGCTCATGGAGAGGAGTAGGGGGGAAATCACATGTGGGTATGGGAACTGTCAGTGGTGTATACTAAAATCACTAAACAGCTCAGCTGTAGCATCAGCTTATTCTAACCTTAAACATTCATCCTGAAACTTCCCATGACAGGTGTCTGCCTCCCACTGTCTTTGGAGGAAAACATCAAAACAACTGATCCCTTGTAAAGAAAAAGGACTAAGAGAACATAGTTCTGCTTGCACTACAAATGAAAAAAACCCACTGAACTCTTCCAAAAGGAATAATTGCTTCAGATGCAGAACATCAAACAGATTGTTTCTGCAAGCAGTGTCCTGATGTCCTACAGATCATCCCAGACTCCAGCAATGCAATACTGGGATTCACAGGAATGTTCTTAGTCCCCACAACACTGTGAAAAGGAGGAAAAAAGAAGAAACATGATCCTAATACAGAAGCGAATGAACTGCTGTAAGGAAGTTATACTTGTTCTGCCCTGGAAAATGAGGTCCTTCAGTAAGTTCCCACCCATATCTCTTCCTGGGTGTTAGGGCTGGTATTTTAAGTTTGACCTGTAAAAACACTGAGCACTCAAGAAAAAATTCAATAGTGATGGTTTTTGTGATGAATCCTACAAAACTGTCTTGAAAAAACCTACTGCATTTTCAGCTCTGAGGTGAAGTAAGATTCTAAACGGGCATGGAATGTGCATAACGGATCTCCATATTCATCAATCGACGTATACACAGAAGTAAGACTGACCCACAAAACGCTACAGGTGCAGAACTTGCTATCAGAGTCTGGTACCTTTACACACTGAGATGCACAGCTCTCTTTAGCCAACCTTGGCTGGGCAGCAAGACAAAGCCTTTTACAAACAGATGGAGCTCCAAAGGTTAGACAAATAGCATTGTTCAAGTGATCCCTGGGCTTAAGCTGTCTTACCATTTGCTCCTGGACACTTCTCTTCGCTTGTGAAAACGCCTGCTGCAGTTCATTGAGGAGGTTCTCTGACTTCTGACATTTAGCCATAAGCAAAGAGATCTTAAAAAAAAGAAAACCCACAACAAAGATATAAAGCATGAAGCAGATTTTGAAGGAGAAATAACCAGTGAAGTTTTCTTGCTTGTTATCATTATTAATATATAATTGGGAATTTCAAACTAATCCATTAATCTTGTCGGTTCTTCACTTAGTAAATCATTAATGCAGCTCGAGCTGGTAAGAACGGACACCATCCTTCTATACCAGCAATATGTTCTTTTTACCAAATTCTAAGCCAACAAACAAACAGTAATTCTAATCAGATTTTAATGTAAGCCAGTTCAGAGACCCTGAATAGGGTCTGCAGAGCTACCACCACACTTTCCAGCATTTTAAGGTAATTTTTCATACCTTTCTCTGAAAGCACAGATCTTCAAAAGCTTTACAATTAAGTTATTCTACAGCACCACAGGCTTAACAGTAACATGAAGAATCACTTAATTAAGAGCACTCTGGTGCATCCAAAAGAATGGACGTATAAACATGTTCCTGTCATCTAGGAGAGACTTTGCTAAGGACTGCTTCCTTGGTAAGAAAAAACATACTGGGTGGGATGGAAGAGAGAAAGCCTTCCAGCTCAAGTGAAGTAAATGAAGTAAATTCAATGTCTTGTATACAGCATTTCCCTAATTAATAGCCCAAAGATGATAACTATTCATTTTGCTTAAAGCTATGATTACCACACATGTTATTTGGCTCCGTTGTTCCAGGAGTTATGTACACAGCTCAGACTGAAAAATCTTCTAAATGGGCTATTATTTCAAAGAAGTCTAAGTGCATACTTTGGACCAACTACTGGTACTCCCTGCTCAGCTACTCATTAACTGGATGTCTTCACCACAAGACCATTAACTGTGTGCCAAGTATTGATGAGAGCAACTGGCACAAATAGTACCACTCTTCTACTGACAAGGACAGCGACCAAGAACACAGGGCTACTTTTGCATGTCTGGGGGGTTTCACACAAGAGCTCACTTCAGAACTCAAACCCACTCAAATTCCAATTATCACCTCTGTAGTATATTTCAAGATTAGAGATGAAATTTCAGGGTGAGAATTGGATAACATACTATTAGACACATGTCAGACTTACCTAGAAAATGTGGGAGACTAAAGTGCAGCATAACTAACCCTAGAAGCTCTCACTTTTGTTGCCTCTACCACAGGTAGTCCATCCATATCTAACAGAAGATGAGTTCTTGTACGTATTTTTAATACCACTTCATGATTCCTACCATCTTGTAATGCCATCTAAATGCCTGTACCTGGTTAGAGGAGTCTTCAGCACTTTGTTTCATGTAATCCTCCAGTTCTTGTTTGTCTTTCATTGTCTTTTCCAGCTGGTCATTGGCTTGCCTCAGCATCACCTGCAGCTTTTTCACCTGTGTTGGTACAAAAAAATCATGTAGTTTTCCATTCTTTTGGACAGCACTTATTTCCCAAACACCAATATAGCCTACCCCATCACACCCTCAAAGCACAAAATCCCTCAAACCCCTATGCAACGCAGAAGTTCCTTTGTTGTTCTTCTGAAACACCATGCATCCCTGATTACACCAAACACATGACATCAAACTGCACTGAACCAGCTTCCATCACTTATTTCAAAGCAGAATGCCTTCTGTACCCATCTGAAAAATGTTCCCCAGTATACAGCAGGAAACAAATATCCTCCAATACTTCCCAGTCATTTTATGTCTCTAGGATGAGGTCCTCTAATTTTTCCTTTGCTGTTAACAGTCTTTGCATTACCAAAGATATTGAATTTAATGCATGACAAGCATTTTAGAATATAAATTATGAAAGATAGTGACTTCAGCATGAGCACAACGCTTTTTATAGAACAGTGCTTTTACTGCATGGTCTCACAGTACTGGATAAAGAGGTTCTCCGTGGTGAATCCTTAAACACACACACATGGTGCTCATGATCATATACCAACAGCAAACCAGGTTATGACAATAACATGTTACCAGTTATCCAGATTTTAACTATGTTGACATTACTGAATGAAAACCAATGAATAAACCAGCAGATGGGATATTGTTGCACCCTCAGTAGCTCAAATAACTGCAAAGATCTTGCTAAAGCTGGAAGAGAAATCCCACCTGGTCTCTTGTCTCGGCCTCCTGAATCTGGATACCTTGCAACTGCTTCTCATAATTGGAGCACATATCACAGCGTCTACCCAGCTTGTTCCCTGCGTTCTGCACCTGGAGAACACAGAGTTACCACCTGCCATAAAGTTCTTCAAGGAATGCCAGAGTGCTATGTACTCTCAGGTGTGTTGTGTGATCACAAAATATTACAGATAAAAGACAGTAGCAGAATCATGTAATGGCAAGATTAAGTTGTTCTGAAAGTAAAGGATAATGTATATTACCTGCAGCGTATCAGCTTTCCTGGCAGGAGCCCCATGGCAGGGGGTTGGAACTAGATGATTTTAAGGTCCTTTCCAAACCTAACTATTCTATGATTCTATTAGCACAAAAGCAATAAGCCACGATGTGCAACAGTTCATCATTCAGTGCGTGAAACTGTAATGGTTTTGGCCAAGGGGACAGATGGAAGTTTTATCAAAGCTGTAGCTGCAAGGCAGGTTTGAGCTGAAATTGTATTTGTAATTGCTGCTCCATGTCCCACCCACATGGAGACATTCGCACACCCTGCCCTGCTCCTGCCTCCAGAAACACATGGGAAGCAGTGCATTTCTTTTCTGAATTTTAAGAAAGGGTTGGAGTACAGTGTCATCAAAATTTCAACAGGGCACTCAAAAGTAGAGGATTTAACACAGCTCTGAGAACCACAGGAGCCCCACAGTACTCTTCAGCAGGAAATCAAATGCAAGCTTTGAATTGGCATCATATAAAGCTGCTGAAAATCTGACAGGCAGAACACCCGGAATCAACAATCTCCTTGGTCACCCACCCTGAAACTGGCACAGTGTTAAGTCTAATCTGCTGCTTGTTGCTCTCAGAAATTGGTTTTTGATGATGCAAGTCCCCAACAATTTTCTGAAGCTTTCTTTGTGGTTGCTTTGTGTGTCATGCATATCTTGGCTGCTCATTTCTAAACTGCACTCCAAGCACAATCCTCAGTAAAACTCCTTGGCATACTGAACAGCACTCTTAGCTCTGCTCCTTTTGTTAATGTTTCCACTTTCCTAGTCATCGCCATTGCACTGTAACATCCTTTCCTCAGCTTCCCATTTTCTCCTTTTGTTTGAGTTCTCCTATCTTTTTTTCACCCTCTTACGTATTCGTGTGATCAACAGCTACCTCTGCCAGACCCCCCTAAGGGCAAAAATAGCCTGTATTTAGTAAAGCTGACTCTATGCAGAGCAAAGGAGGAAGAGCCTGCACCTAGCAGACAGTCCCCTAGCACCTAGCAGACAGGGTACAGGCGGTGGTCACAGCAGACACATGTGCTGGGTACTCACCTCCTTCTGCAACAGGTTCCACTCTGTCTCACTAACCAAGCGGTAACCACTAGGAGATACATAAGCACTTTCTACGCCCTGTGTAACACTGGAAAGCAGCGAAGCAGTCTCTTCTTGTTCTGGTGTCATTGCTTTGATTGCTTTTTCCTGATCTTTGGTTAACATGAACCCACTTGGCATTTGCAGAGATCCAAGGGAAGCTGTATCAAAGTTCTCAGACACTGAATCTGCTCCAACAAGTGGTCCAAAATCCGACTCATCCAGGTTCCCAGCAGATTTTGCTTTGTTGTTGTATCCTAAAGCTTTGGACTGTAAAGACCCAGATGTCCCCAGACTGTCTGTTGACTGTGCTCTCCGTAGTCCATCTTTAAACATATCATTATCTGATTTATTGAAAGATTCACCAGAAGAAAGAAGCAAGTCTGCATCCAATGAATGGACTGAGCCATGGGTGCTATTTACCTGCACCTGGAATTAAAAACAAGGAAGAAAAAATTATATACTCCATTCTAAAAGCACGGTACAAGAGGAACAATGGACGCTCGTTATCAGACACAGTAAAGGCCAATTTAAATTGGCTTTGCCAAGAACATCTGATCACTAAGCTTAAGATGGCAGAGAAAAGGATAGAGAACTGAAATGCAGCAGCTTAAATTAGAAAACAAGAAACAAGCAAAAAGCCAGAGTTTTCTGTTAAGAGAGTGCTTTCGTAAGAATCTGTCTTCTTGCCAGACAAGCAAGGACATGGTCACCTTACATCTTCCAGTACATGAAACAAGGCCCTTCCACTAAAGAGATATACTTACAATATCACTTCTAGACCTACTATCTACACAACAGAAAGCAAACACTCCACTGCCACAAGGCAACTCAAAAGTCTTTCATAGAACAAAACTCTTTAACATAAAAATAAATGGAGAATGATACACTTATAATCTGTTCTACCCAGAGAAGTGGATATTTCTATTTCTTTCTTCTACTTGGGAGTGTCTGACACAATATTGTAAGAGAAATAAATACTTTTCTTTAAAAGTTTATTTGTACATAAAAGAAAAGGGAAAAGCCTGGGCTTAAACAGAAAGGTATCCTGGGGAATGCCAATAGCAAAAGCCACACTGTCCTGTGATGTACACAAGGCACATTAAGACTCTTGATCTATTTTTAGTATTTGCAGCACTGAAAAGAGAGCAGTAGTGCTTTATTTAAAAAGCATCAGACTGCTTTCAAAATACCTTCCAATATATTATGCACTTCTGCTTCGCCATTAGACATATGAAGAAAACAACAGTGAGAACAAGCCTCTTGAGAAAAACAGTGATTTCCGAAATAGGCCCAGCAGAGATGAGCAGGCTGCTGGTACTTCTATATAGGTGTTTATTAACTTAGAACTAAATATTATGTACTACTGGGTTTATGACTGTAGTAAATGCCTGTTTTAATAATTTTAGGCATATTATGTATATTTACATGTATATATATATGAGTTCAAGCTCATAACAAAAAGCTGAAAGAATACACACTTATATAAAATTTCATGCTGGTGATACAGTTAATGAATAATTTGTTTATTGCAAACTGCTCAACAGAGAAGAGCTCAGAAATGGAATTATGACAAGTTGAAAGATATGACTGACAGTATGATTCACTACCACTGTAAAACACATTCCATACAGTTAAAAACCATCAGAAATAGCAAGAAAACCCAATCCATAAACAAATCCAAACCACTCTGGAAACTACATCCTTTCTCAAAATGCAACCACTTCCATTATGTGCAATTCCTAGAATTAAATAAATGTTGTGATGAAGGAACTATAGAGGATCCTAGGAAATGAGATTAAAGAAAACATTAGAAGATAAAACTCCTGTTTGCCATAATATGTCCCATTTGCATAGCTGGACAGAAGTGTTAGTATACAACACTGTATCTGTAATAGAAAGTTGTGTCCTTATGGTAGGATAGAGCATAGGACTAGACCTCAGCCACATTTAACTGTTAGGCTTCTGCATTCTCAACTGTAACAAATAATTGATGGAAATAAAGAACAGACTCTAGAGCTATGTAACTTTTTTCCCTTAAAAAAGGATAATAAATAATATTAAGTAATAAATTAACACCTTTAGGGTACAACAGTAAAATACTAAATAAAATAAGTAATACATATTATATTAAGAAATAAAACAGGCAAAATACTGGCTCACACTGCAAATTCTCAAGTCTCCTGACTTGTCTCCAAGCAGGTCTATAGCACAAGACTATTTTATTAATTTGTCCCTATTCTGACTTACAACTAAAATGGAACCTGTTAGATAGGCAAGCAAAATGCAGTGGATAAGGATAAGTAACTGCCTATTTTGATACTGCGTCCAAGTTCCAACCTATGTGCTCATAGGGTTTGCTTCCTCCCAAGTTCCACTGAGGCAAACACACAATTCTAGCTTGTCCCTGTGTATGACTGTCCACAACACCCAAATGGCTCCTAACTCATGACATGCAGCAGCATCCCTTTTTCTGGCTGTTGGAATGGGTTACTAATACAGCTCAAGCAGCTTGGTGCAGAGACCCAGCTACTGGCTTGGCTAAAAAAAGAAAAAAGCTCATTTTGGCTGCTGAACAGATGTGGCCAAACTCCTCAACTGGCACAGCTGGATACAGCTCAATACATACAGATTTACACATCATACTGGTGTGTGCACACGCTACGCAAGCAACTAACCCCCCAGTCAGTGGTCTGACTTGTCCAACCAGTGCCAGGTCAGCACAGAATTCAACAAGTAGGTCAGCAAAGCAGATACAATAGATTTGCTGACTGTTCAGATATAATTGGTTTAATTCTGAACACCCAGATGTGCTGGAACACGGGTATAAATCCCAAGAGAACTTAACAGCAGTTAACATCCAGATTGCAGAAGGTAAATTACAGGTTTTAACAGTACCTCTCAGGATTATAAAGTATTGGCTTCCATTCTTTATTAGAATTTATCCATTCAGGTGCAACTCCAAAGATTTTTCATTGCTTAATAAGAATTACAAGCTACAGAGAATAAAGGGCATTAATTTGGCATTTGTATTTGTAATCAACACCCTGAGGAATGCACGAGTGTTCAAGCCACTTTGAACTATCCACGTGTTTTACCTCTTCATTAGACAGCTGGGTGAGTGTTTCCTCCTGGGCGAGAGAACATGAAGCTTTTGTTTCATCATCTGAATCTTTTTGCTTCTGCTCCTTTCTCTTGCTAAGCCTTTGCTGATCATCTTCTTCCTAGAAATCAGTGGTCAATACAGAACACATATAGATGAGACAATTTTACTGTAGTAGTCATGACATTATAGTTTCTATGATAAAACTAAGCTACAAAAACAGCACTGAGAAAAAACTGCTTTGGTTAAAAACCTGGTATTTATCACACAAGGGTTATTTTGGTTACAAATCTATTGTTCATTTCACAAGGTACCCAAACTTACTTTTCAAGTTTAGTAGCCAATTAATGTTCTACAGTAACTTTATTCAGAGAACAAATTACCTAGATCAAAATACCTATTATAAGGATTACCAAATAAGTAACAAAAGTAGCTGTTACGCTGGCTACTGCATAGAACCTGGTAACATATTTTCATCACTAGTGGCCCTATTAACAGTCATTATACAAGCCTGAATGTTAAAATGTGAAAAGGTGGAATGTAACATATGAAAAAAGAATCAAAAGACACAGCACAGAGCACTAATCATATGCATAAGCTAATTTACAATGAAGCTCTTGATTTATGCCAGAACTAGGTGCTGTAATGGAAAAACCTAAGAAGTGAAACTTGCTACCCTAACATCCTTAGCCCAAATGTTCTGTGTCATAGATGATTCTTTCTTCTTCCAAGATTAACTTGTGGATATTTTTACCTTTTCATTTAATGATATTGGCAAAATTACTTTTAAAGTTATGATATACATTAATATTATTCACACAAATGGAGAGTTTCTGTTAGAACCACCAGCTGTCACTCAAATGGAGAATTTCTATTAAAACTGTCAGCTATCATTTTCTGAGCTAGTAACACATTTAATAACTTATCTCCAATACATGATTTCCATACCTGTTCTATCACGTTAAGTCTATAGTATTAATAAGAAAAAAGACAAAAGCAGCAAGTAACCTGATCCTTTTTTTTCAGTTCTTCTACTTGTCGGAGCTGCTCAGAGGTCAGAACAATTTCCATACGTTGCATGTCCCTCATCAGCAAACGTTGAGACTCCAAGAACTGGTCATTGGCTTTTTGCCATGTGTGTTTCAACTGGTTGTGCTGCTGTCGCTCTTGCTCTAAGAGATGGCAGACTATTCAAGAACAGAGAGTTATTTTGAACTGAGATTTTTACCCTCTTTTCCAAAGAGAAGCACTTTCATGAATAAAAGTAATTATTGATCTAATCAGGAACAGTCAGGCTTTGCTCAACAACTATTCAGGATGAAATAGAACATTATTTTAATTCCCAAACTTGGCTTGTGATTAGGGACATATTACTGACAGTTTAGGATTCCTCAATTAGGAGACTAACACCTTAACTTCATTCATGACTTCTAGGTTGATTTGTTTCTAGTGCTGGTTTCAAAACACTGTCTTCTATGTCCCTATATATTTCAAGAGAAGGTTCTGGTTTTCATTTCTCTATAGCGATTCTGCGCTGTACACTGACACATCCATTCCACCACCAGGCATTCAAACTGACATACCTCAGGGAGATATATCAATGCATTATGGAAATAATGCTCATAACTGTATACAAATAAAGGACACCATTAAAAACACTTGCAGTACTCTAAGAACTAAGCAGAAATTCAATAGCATCCCTCAAGAGAATGAATGGCTCTGTTGTTTTTCTCCATCATAAAAGAACTCCACATTCAACTCTTCTGTAAACATTTGAAGGGCTTTCACATTTAAAAGTACTGCTTCCTCCCCCCACAATTTCCTTAAATCCAATTCAAATAAGAAATTAAAAAAGAATTAATAGCTATGTTGGTTTTGCAACCTTAGTGTAAAAGAGTCAAAGGATTCTTATTAGATAGATACCTTCATGCAGTTCTTTCCGTAACTTCTCTGCATCTTCTTGCAGGACTGATTTTTGTGTGTTGAGAACAGCCACATACATCTCCAAGTCTGTCCTACATGACTTCTCAGCTTCCAAATAATGGTTCAGTTCTTTAACCTGAATAAAAAGAGGGAAATCTACCATCTCAGTGCAGGACCACACTCAGGCATTTCCTTTTTGTTAGAAGTTCCGCATCTCCTGTTTGGGTAATGTGCAGGTGCTGAAGGACAAGTTTGTTTCTAGAAATCACAAATATTCAACCACCAGTGTGCAAATATATATGTGTGCCAACAGTACTTGCATTTACTTCTGAATATATTGCTCATTAGAAAAAAAAAAAAAAACAGTTTTCAAACCCATGAAAGACTGCTGCAAAAAGACAGGAGAATCTGTCAATGGAAAGCAATTAGATGAAGACATACTGAAGAAATATAACAGGATTTTAAGAGAGGGTTACATAAACATCTGTCAAACATGATGCTCTTAGAAATGGATCCCATCTTGGGTTGAAAGGTTTCTTTTCTGGCACTATTCAGTCTCATGGTTTGCTGAGTCAGCAATCAGTTTTTATTTTAAAGGAAACAAAAGCCTTCAGGCAATTCCTAACTGGCTCCACAGAGCTGCTGCTCATCTTCCTCATCAGAAAGTATAGAAGCCACAGACACCAACTCAGAGCTCAAGACAAGCCTTTGGCTTTAACTTGCCACTGATGGTGGAGACAACTTCTCTTCCCCTAGTACACCAAGTCTTCTATTCGCTAAATGCCTTTGGAATGGAGAAATCTGACTCCCAGGGAACAGCCCTTGGGAAGGAAGGGACAGGAAGGGGAAGGTGGGATGCGAGAGAAAAGAAACGCATTGTTTCATTAGTCCAGCTAAATACTTGATATTGAAAAACAAAATTACATGACTAAGACAGAAGATGAACCAACAAAAAAGTCAGACACACTGCTCAGTCTGCACGTCATTCTCATACCCACCTAGTAATATATATCATGTAAATAATATCTTGCAGTTTTATATCACCATATATTAAAGTACTTACACAACTTCCTAAATTTGTGCTTAAATGTCTCCTTGCTACATACAGACCAGCAATTCTTTCCCAATAAGCTAAAAAGGTGACTTGAAGTAGGACTTTTGGCAACTTCAGACAGAAGGAATAATGATATAAAATTGACCACAGGTAAGAATTAAATGCCTAAGTAATTTTCTTTGGTAAGAATCACCATCTAAAGCGAGACTTCTTTAAAACCAACCTCCCAATAAACTAGAACCATGTATGAAGTGATTAGCCACTTTCTCCAAGAGATGTATGGTTGTGTTTTACTAATCCCATAGAATGACACTGTCAGATTGGAGAGGCCTGACAAGAGACACCAGCACAATTTTATTTCTGAAATAAATTGGTCCCGAAACCCCATCAATTTTATTCAGGCCTTGCTACAAGAATGACCTATGATTTTTATAACCAAATTCAGCAGAAAAGTTCTAAGGAAAAGTTCTAGACTGTTCTTAAGAAGACAAGATAAAAAAAAGAGAAAACCAAAAAGCATTCTGAGAACAAGCCAGCAAGAGACAGTTCACATTTCCTCATCTTCCCCACATTCATCTTCGCAATGAAAAGGAAGTATTATTTGCATCAAGAGAAAAAGCAAAACTATTTGCAGAACTGTTATTCCTAGGAACACTTCAACCTGAAAAAAATCTGACCTATAAAGCACTCAAGCATGGCCTGTCAATCTAGCAAAAATATTTTTAGACTGTTAAATGAATTCACACTGTACTCCTAAATCTCAGGAATTTATAAGGAAGGTATTTATTCCTGTGTCTTAAAAACATCCCCACGGTAAGTTACTTCGCAACTTCAGCATATTTGACTTTCAAGTTAAAGTATTTGTTGCAGCGGACATCTTCATTTCTGTATAAAACAGTCCATTAAATGCAACTATCTTCCAGTGCTGTAAATATTATTTACCCTTCAGAGCTGATGAGAAAATTCAGGGATTCTGACGTACCTGAAGAATACAGGAATGCTAAATAAATCACTGACCACAATTTCTTGGCAGCAATGACCCGTATCCCTTTCTATGAACCTGAGGTTAAGATATAAAAATCCTGGTGATACTGCCTCAGTTTTAAGCCCAGGGTTAGAAAATGAAATAAAGCAGATGCTGGATGGAAGTAGATCACAAGAGTTTTGCCAAATGCAAATCTTCCTGTGGCTGCGAGCCTGACAATAACCTAAAGGCCAGGCTGTTGGAGAGGTGCAAAGCAGCTATTTTTCTAGAGCTTTTTCTTTTTTATTACTAGCAGGCCTGAAGCCGTGGCATTTGAACTAAGCACAGATAACACACAAATAACACAACCCTCAAAACAGGAAAATGGAAAAACATATCTAAGCCAAATATGTTATTTGAGCTCCAGGAGAAAAGATGTATTGCGCATGAACACTCTCACAACACACATTTTTCTCTCTTATAAAATGTGAGTTATCTACATCAAACCAGCATGATGCAAGATATAAATTCAGGTACAGCTGCAGCTCCACCTCACCTTTGATGCTTCTAACTCTTTGATTTTTTCTTCAGCTCCTGTCAATTTTTCCTTTAGCGCTGCAATCTCCTTCTCCATGGGCATCACAACTGAACGCAGCTTCTCAGCATCTTCCTGGGCCTGAAGTTAAGGCAATAAATTACGAATAACACATTATCATAGTTCTCACCACAACAGTTTCCATTATTGGAGACATTTGGAGAAAATCTCTATGCCAACAAATACAGCTGACTGAACTTCCACTTTCAATACTCGTCTTACTGCTATTTATTTAGTTCAGCAGTCATCTCTATGACAACAGGCCAATATTACTCCATTCACAGAAGGCAGCTAAATTTTAAATCCATGTATGGATTAGGCCATGAATATCTGTTTTTGAAGAGAACATTAGTAAATCTATCACTGTTGATACTCGGGAGAAAATTTATGGATCAGGCATTCCAAAATACATTTGTTTTTGTTATTAAAGGCCTTCACTGTCCTGCAACGTGCTACCACATAGCATATATAAAAGTGTAATACAGAACTACAGGGTGAGTTACTGGCCATTCATTTACTTACAAAGATAAAAGAAAAAGGATCTGCACAGTAATGCACAGTGTAGCTTTGCTCTGCTTCAGAAGATCATTCTTCAACTTAAGATTACTACTGATGCAGCATCAGGTTTTGGTGTCACTGTACTAACTGCTTCAACACTATATACAAGCAACTGATCAAAAACCCCATGATTTTTCTCAAACAGTAGTTCTGAATATATCAAAGCAGGACAACAGAATGAGAAGACTGATGTAAGGGGAAAAAGAGAGAAACAGCCAGGTAAATATAGCAAGAATTAAAATGAGAAACCGCATTCAGTGCTCAAAATCGGAACTACTCATGTCAATGGACGATCCTGACATCCCCATTTCCTAAATGGACACACTAAAAACTTTCCAAGTGAAGATAACAGCTCCCATAGACTCCACAAGAGCAAGCAGAACACTCAAATATTCACCACAGTAAAATTCTTCAAGCCATGACAAATTTAAGCAACCTAATTTGGGTGCATTTATGTGTTGGAGGTTTAGAGCACTCAGTTGTTCTCTCTCTTCTACTGGAGGAACTCAGCAGGGGAGGGAAGGCTGCGAACTGCATCCCAAAGCTGAAGCATCAAAAAATGACACTTTTCTTAACCTATCAGCAAAGGCAGCCACTAAAAGATAATGTTCAAGTCTTGTTTAAAATATAAACTAGAACCCCACACTGGTTTGGGTTGGAAGGGACCTTAAAGCTCATCCAGTTCCAACACCTGCCACGGGCACGGACACCTTCCACTAGAGCAGGTTGTTCCAAGCCCCATCCATCCTGGCCTCCAACACTGCCAGGGATGGGGCAGCCACAGCTTCTGCAGGCAAACTGTGCCAGTGTCCCACCACCCTCACAGAATGCAGATCTTAAAGGCTACCCATTTGATTTTCAGTTTCTGGTAAGCTTACTGACAACTCTATTCTGAGCAAGACTTTCAGGAGGAAAAATACACAGTATTTTTAACCACTCAACTTTTCTAAACCTAAAATTAATAGGCAAGATAAAACAATATTGCAATACCATTATACACATGCTACCAGCACCTTGGGCTCTGAAAAGCTTTAAAGAAAATTCTGTAGACTAAACAAAATTAAATTGCTTCATGTTTCATTCACTTCTGCTACATTCTGTCGCTGCTAGTTTGCTTGTCCAAGGAGTGAAAATAAAATCCATGAGGAAAGCAAGGGACATCACATGATGCAGCGAATTCAATACCAGGGACATGTGACAGTGTCACACATACATACATATCCTGTCACTCGCAGCCAGCAACTCAGCAGTCACATTTTTAGAGCAGATGGGAGCAGCTCAACTTCACAGGTTGCTTTAGATTTCATTTATTGTTATCGGTTCTATTCATTTAATGCTATCTGTAGCTGGCTCATATAAACTAACGACAGGCCAACATTTTTAGGCCTGTTAAACAAGCTTTTTCCTCATTATTTATGATAACTGAAAGAATATTTCATCACCAGTCTGATTTCACACAATTCAACGCTGAATAGAGAGCAACAAATGCATCCATGCTGGAACCAACCAGTCCAGAGAAACAGTCAGAATGGTCTCTGAAAGCAGAATCAGACTGTTGAACATAACCAACTGGAAAGGCACAACCGCATCAAATTCCAGGACAGAAGTTACTCTAGCATTTAGTGCTTGGTAAACAGAGCTGAAGTTTGACACTATGGTTGCAACATAGTGCAAATGTGTCTGTTAAAAACACAAATAGGGGATGTGTGTGGAAGGCTGGGAGTAAGGATCTGGATTAAACACCAGTGTGATAGCGAGCTAAGCACCTTGAATAGCCTCTATCTGCTAACAAAATGAGTGCAGGTCACTAGGTCTGCTTTTGAAGGTGAAGTAATTACTGAGACTCCAAAATTGAGGTTAAAGTTTCCACTCAAACTTCTAATAGAATGATATTATCTATCTTGTTGAAAAATGATACATAAAGATACTGCCATATGCGGCAAGAGATGCCACAGCATCTCATTTCCTGTGTTAAAATGTGTTATTCAGACTCTTCTAGAGGTGTGATCCTTAAAATCTTTTCTTCCATTCTAACATTTTGCCAAACTAACATCAATCTACTTCCATGAACTACTCCAGTCACAGATCTCTGAACAACAGCAACAACAAAACGTTTCCAAACTCCAGGGCAATTATCCTTCATCATCCAGAGCCTGTTTTGTGACAGCAAGGTTCTGCACTTCCTAGGAAGCTACTAGTATTGTGTTGCACAAACATAACTCTCCTTAAAGAAAAAGATATTATAGATACAGCACCCATTAAAAACCTCAGAAGATTGTATGATCTGAGGAAAAGAATAAGGCGCACAAGCGTAAAAGAGATTCCATAATTCCAGTCAATTCAGAGGAATCTGAAGAAGGCTTTCCTTGAGTTCACCTGACGTTACAATGAGAGGCTTTAGAAGGCCTCCTGCCCTTACAAGCTCAAGGCCAAACCTTAACCACCTTCTGAGCTGCAATCCTCAGAATGAATTCACATAATCACGTACAATATGTTTATGGATTCAAAAGCAGGATTAGGTCATGATGTCTTCCTTGAACAAACAGCTGAAAGTTGGCAGAATGAGGCTGTGCATATTTCTGAGGAACTATGAGCAGGCAGTGGAAATGAACTCATCCGTAACACTACAGGTCTGTACTGAAAGAGAAACTGAAAACCTAGATTTCAACATACCTTTTTCATTTCATTTTCTAGGTTTTCTTCCTCTTGACCTTCAGATAGTCTCCTTCTTAACTCTGCTATTTCCCGTTCCACATTTTCTCGATATTGATTCCACTGAGCTCGCTCCTGCTCCATCCTGTGATGATACTGGAGCTCATAGTCACGAACAGTCTCTATAAAAGGGCAGTTTCAAAACTTATTTTTAATGGAAGTTAAAAAAACAGAGCCTTAGGAACTCTTACCTCCAACCAGCCAATGATTTATCATAATTGATCAAAACAGGGCAACTCTCCCTTCCTCTCTCTTCCCTTTGACTCTTGCCCCAAAACCCAACTAACAGAAGCAAAAGATCCACAGGAATTGCATCTCAATTTATACCACCACTAGAACAGAAACAAACAAGCCCCCAAAACTGTGTAACTTCTCACTTCAAAATAACATACATTTCTAACATCCTATTTACCAGCACATTAGTACCTCCAAACACATCATCCAAGCAATCTAACCCCTATTTACTTACTCCAAAGTGCAGAACTAGAACATCTCATGTAGCTTTCATTTCCCTAATATTACCCGTTCAGGTAAGGAGTTGTCTTTGTTTACACACAGGCAGCAGTTGGCACAACTGCACCTGCATCTAGGTTTCTGTACCTATGCAGATCATAAATAAACAGAAACTTGTGTACTCAATATACATGAATGTTTGTCTTCTCTGGGGAAAAGCATAATCAGGTTATGGGAAAAACTGCCAACAGCCAACAGGTTGGAGGCTCAGGATACTGTGGTCTTGTCTGTGAACATAAAAGAGCAGCCAGTTATGGCAACAGTGTCCCCACTTTACATCCTGCATTCTGTTCCTTGCACACAGCTTGTCTCAGAAACATCAACAGTTGTGCAACATGCAAACATAACAAAGCATAGCTCGAAACTATCAAGGAAAAAAAAAGACCCATGACTGATACAGAGCAGCATGTTCAGTCACTAGCCTGGGGAAAAGTCTGTGTGATAGTACTGGAAGGACACTTAACTGTCTGACAGCAGAACAGTGTTTACACACAACAAGAGAAGAGAATCATGCTGCCAGCCTAAAGCTGTTTTCAGACTTGTCAAATTACATTCATTACACTTATCTTCATGGAATGATGAAGCATCACGCACATAGTCCCTCAAAAATGCTTTGCATGTATGTGGGAGTTCCCATTGCCATGAATCCTTCTAAATTCTACCATCATATTAACAGAAAAGAACCACCAAGCTCTTTTTCACAAACTTAGGAACTATGCTTCATCCATCACTTCTGCAGCCAGGTTTTGTCAAGCCATGAAAAGCAGCTATCCATGCTCTGTGCAAGAGCCAGCACACAGCATTAAACACCTACTGAAGAGGGGCTTGATCTTAGTGGCAGCAGCTTGCCTGGTTTTTACCTTTCATAATAGCTTGTAATGAAGCTACTTCTTCTTGCCACTGTCTCTTCACCTCATCGATAGCTTCCTGCTTTGTGTTCTCAGACACTGTAGCGATAGCTTTGATGTTCTCCATTTCAGCATGAGCCTCCATCAGCTGGGTCCGCAGTTGTCCCAGATCATCTTGGGCTGCTTGCAGCACTGCATTTTGTCTTTTCAGGTCCTCTGAAGAGAAGTGTTATTTGCATTTAGCTTGACTAATGTTTACAATTAGCTTTATTTACATTTAGCTTGATTAATAAATTCAATCTGAAGAGTACCCATAGCTGCTATGGCAAAGAACAGTGTTCTAACAAGGGGGTGAAGGAAGCACTGTATTAAAGCTACTACCCATAACAACTAAACAAACGTTAACAGGTATCTTTAGGGAACATTATTTCTTGACGTTGCTTGCCCTTGCCTTTCATTAAACAAGTACCTTCTCATGGATGCAGCCAAAAAGCAGACACTGTAGATATAACCCATGAATCAATACACTGGCTGAAAGTGAACTGTGCTTTTAATTAGTTCATTATTACTTAACTCACTATGGTAATTAATCTGGAAAATGTAAGAACAACAGACAGGAAACCAGTTCTTCCCTCACTTTTGGCACCAAAATGATCCTGAATTTGGATAGAACAATTCATATTTCTTGAACAGAAACACTCTATGACCACTACATGGAGCCTACAGAAGAATATGAGCTTTACCAGGGCTTTGCTAAAACTGAGCTTCTACTAAAAAAGGGATACATTCAGTGAAACATCCACTACTTGTCTAATTGTTGCAACTACAAATAGAAATTAAACTAACTTCACATTATCTTCCTGAGTTTTCAGTTAATCTGAAGCAAAAAGCTCTAGAAGATGTATATTATACAACTGACTCCAAAAGCACCAACACAAAATATAGTTTTATGCCCACATCGCCTATTTCAATGGCAATCACTTTTAGCAGAAACATCTGGCCAGCGTACAGCAGACACCAAGGTATCTCCATGTCTTTTCCTCAATACCAAAATGCTTATAAACTCTGATGCCCCCACACCTTACCTCTTGAGAGACACATTGGAACCCAGAGCTAATCAGGTACTCAAAAAGGCATTAACTCTCACATAAAACAAAACAAAACAGGATCATATCGTATTTATATTACTTAGTTTTCAAACAGTATTAAGGATGGGTTTTAATAGTCACAATGTACATTTAGGAAAAGGTCTTGAGAACAGAAAGGGAAAAAAGCTTGGGAGGGGGAGAGAAAAGTAATTGCTTGTACTTTCTGCTCCGGTATCCTTTCACCAGAGTGAAAGTACATGTGAAAGTTGGATTTTTTTTTTTCCATCAAAATTGATTTTTATTTTCTTTTGTTTTTACTGTTCTGGAAAGGGAGAATTATTGCTGATCTCATCAACAGTGTCTTTTAGCTTAAATTTCCTTTTATCAAGCTGCTAGAAACGCAAAGAAATAGGCTTTCTGTATGATCTGATCTTCATTATGGCTGTTGTATTTCTGCTCTCATAAGCTTATACAAGCAGCTGCAGTCTTAATGCATTTCTTTTTTGGCTCTGCTTTCATATGTTAAAGACAGAAAAATCATCAGGATTAGAAATAAATCAATTTGGCTCTCAGAATAACAGCTATCTCTGCTCTGCAATTCTGCATCAGATATTTGAACTCATATGGTTCAAATTTTCCTCTAAAGAGTGTTATTGAAATAGATGCCCTTGGCTGGTATTAACATTTTTATGTTTGCCTGCTTATATTCTTCCTCAGATGGAAACTGAAGACAAATTAATACTGCATTAAAAAGCTAGGCACAAAGCACACACAGTACACCATCTAGACCTCTAGACCACTTCTTTCCACTTACCGGATCAGCTGCTGTTCAGAGAATGAGCACACCATGACTTCAGCAAGTGAGTATTAAAATTCAGTGGTGTTTTTCAGTGTACACCAAGTTACTCTGCTGATTCCTATCCATGCAGGCAAACTCAATCCTAAAAATTCATTCTAGGAAGCTAAGTAGCCACCTACTGAATTTCACTCTCTGCTTGTTTCTCATGTTCTTATTATAGCTGTGTGAAAGATTACTGCTACTTTTCTATTTCTGGCAAATCAAACACAACAATGCCTTATGCCATTAACCACGCTGGATATCCTAGTAGAAAACCCCCTTAAATCCCAATTATCCTTAAAAAAAAGAAAGCATGTGGTGTGCACAGGCAAATGGGAAGTAGTAGTTGGCCTTACAAAAATTATTCTTCATATAGGAAATATGTGAAGTTTAATAACCTTCAGAATAATTTAGAGAATTGAGAACTTACCCTCTTTAGCCAGGTATAACTCCTTAAATTTTGCTCTCTTTTGATTAAATTCTTGCTCAAGCTGCTGCTTTGTGCGCAGAAATTCTGCATTGACCTTTTCCAATTCAGCTACCCGTTGTAGAAGAGCAACTGGAAATGAAACAGAAGGTAAGGTACATCACTAACAGGGGCATCCCATTCTGCAAGCTTGAGGCTTGGGGCTTATCCTTTTAAAAATGTCTTTACTCATTAACTCGGCTATTCCCCCATGATACCTCAGGACAACCAGTCGCAGTCCTTTAAATAACAAAGGCAGGCAAGTTGTCTTCAAATGTAGCACTGAACTGTAGACCTCTTCACAGCACTGGAGGCTGGGAATTCTGTAGAAAACAATCAACCTCCCCCCCACCCAAAACCCTGCAATTTTCTATACACAATGAAGGAAGAAATGCGAAAAAAACCTAGTGGTTTCTAGTGGTGCTTCTTTCCAAAATGCTGGGGATTCAGTCACAAGGCATAGGAATACTGTGTGAAGGCCGCGCGACAAAGTGCCAGGTTCTGAAAGATGAGGTCAAAGAAAACAAGGTGACTGCTCAGCTAGCAACTACTGAAGAGCTAAGCTGAAAATTAGCTGCTGTTGTTTCCTGCGCTCAGTTCCGCATGTTCACCAAAAGGGGGTGAAAACAGACTCTACTCAGTAAGATCAATCCCTCCTCATTTCCAACAGGTAAAAATCCTCACGCTACTTTCCACTATTCACCACATTAGCAGTTGATCTGGTGGCACAATAAAAGAGAAAGAAGTCCACAAAGCACCTAAAGATTGGTACACTGCAGTTATTACTGAAGAAAACATGTAATACCATTGTACTGTGATATAGAGGTCCCACACAACCACCAACCCTGTGTCGGAGACTTTATGTCGTCGCGATGCGGAGGGAACACAGCACAATCAATATGATTGATAAAGTGATCCGTTTATTCATCTGAGGTCCAGGGTATATATAGTGTTAAACTGCTACATACACACATTTTTGGAAGATTAGAAGCGAGCGGGAAAATTCTGCTTTCTGTTACATTTGCTACTTTTAGCGTGCTTCTTGCAACTTCACCATCCTGCTCCTACATCCTGCTCACCTTGAGCGACTTACCAAGTCTCTTTGTTTTACAACTTACTAAGACTCTTTGCTCTACTGCACGTAGCTGACCCTTAATAACCTAAGGTTAGGCCTTGCAGCCTGGGTAACTCCAGTACAAGCCTCAGAGTTCGGCTAAGACCAAACAGCTGAGATTGCTTCTTATGTCCATCGTTACAGAACTGGTCCCTTAGTCAAGGGAATGTGACCTTTGTCTGCTAACCACGCTTCCACAACCCTGTAATACTGATTTTTGTGTGCGATGTTGAGTACTTTGCACCTCAATAAGTATAGGTCCGGTTTAGGTGCCAAACAGTTTTATACTGCACACCTCAGAATTCAAAATTCAAATATTCAACAGAAGCAAAAAACAGATGAGCCAGAACAAAACCCATCTCCATGGTGCAATGCACTGGGCAAATAATGTTCCTCTACACAATTCGCTATCTGTTCTGCAAAAGCATTTTATGGACACGTTCCAAATCTGCTGTGCAAAGCTGAATCTCTTCTTTTGAGTTACAGCCTCTGTATAGCACAGACTAGATACATAATAGTGATCCATCTGAAGTGTTCACACATGACACCTAACATGCTTCTCACCAAAAGCAAGTAGTGACAACATAGAACAAAGGCTGCATCAAACATTTACTTATGAACAGCTGGAATTAGATCTAGAGCTTACAGTGGTAAAACAGTGGATGTTCAATGCCACTGAGATTGGCTGAGTTATATTTATTTCTAGTACCTGGTGACTTCGAGCTGATACAAACAAAAGGACCTCTTAAAAGCACAGGTATGTTGTATCAATTGCTGGTTATGAGGGCTTAATAGTGTTACAAAATACAGCATTATATCTGTCAGCTAAAAGATATACGTAGATCCAGGACTAAAGACATTTTAGTGTTGCTTTTCTACAGAAATCCCAATGTATATATTTTTTTATTACCTTAAATATCAATAAATGAGTTTTTCTAGCCAGCAACAATACCTGGATAGTGCAAAGCCAACTGCAGAGGAATATTCTCCATAAAATAAAGGAACCTGCAGCAAAGATGACACACTGAGAGCAAAGCTTCAAGTGTGTTAGGAAGGTGGCTAGATCAAAACCAGGGAAGCAATAGCACATATGGAGCCAGGACCAGGGAGCAAAAATGCTTCCCAAGGCTAGAGAGATGCCTTTGATCTCTTGCTGCAGTCTTCCAAAGGGAAAGGGTTTGCTGACATCTCCACTCCCCACTACTTGTGATGGGGGATGATGTCAGGAAAGCCGCTTCCACAGCCCGGAGGGAAGAGCAGCTCACTGGCTGGCCCCCCAGCCTGCTGCCTCACACCTCGGAGGAATGAAAAGCCAGGCCTGGCTCTGAGGAGGTGGGTTTGATCTCACAGTTTCAGCTCTTGAAAGAAACCATCCGAGGCACTAAAGCCTAAGTGATCTGTATGCTGCGGTTCAGGCTAAACTGTGCAGGCCCAGCCAAGCAGCTGCCATTCTGCAGGCCTGAAGCCACACACACATTTATAGAACCATAGAATGGTTTGTGTTGGAAGGGGCCTTAAAGCTCATCCAGTTCCAAACCCCTGTCACAGGCAGGGACCCCTTCCACTAGAGCAGCTTGCTCCAAGCCCCTGTGTCCAACCTGGCCTTGAGCACTGCCAGGGATGGGGCAGCCACAGCTTCTCTGGGCACCCTGTGCCAGCGCCTCAGCACCCTCACAGGGAAGAGCTTCTGCCTAAGAGCTCATCTCAGTCTCCCCTCTGGCAGGTTAAAGCCATTCCCCTTGGCCTGTCCCTACAGGCCCTTGTCCCAAGCCCCTCTCCAGGTTTCCTGTAACCCCCCTTTTAGGTATTGGAAGACCATTATAAGTCTGTCCTGAGCCTTCTCTTCTCCAGGCTGAACAAGCCCAATCTCTTAGCCTGTCTCCATAGGACAGGTGCAACACAGGACAGAGGAATGTGGACACCACTCACCTTACAAACACTGGTTTGAAGACCATACCAAGAAGAGTTTAACTCTACCATTAATTCTGACAGTTAACAAACCAACTGCAGTCAAACCCCCATCCCAAAGAAGACTCAAGCCCTCCTTATTTACGGGTTTCTCTTTCCATTTATCTCCCACAGAGACACAGCAGCAGCAGCTGTGCTGCTGTCCCCATCAGAGCTGTTATGCAAAGCAAACAAGCTGTATTTCTTCTGAAGGTGAGAGTTGTTTCTGCAGAGGATGGAAGGATGAGAGGACACCACAAAAACAGAAAGCTCGAGTGTGCTAAAGCTGTGGGAACAACAGACTCAACCTTTTCAAACCCTCCTGCCCTAGCAGAAAGAGGAATGGCAGCGTCACCATGCGGGAAATGCAATCTAACTATTTCCATTTTTACAGTATCCCCCTCTCTGCAGCCTGGCAGTTACGTGTAAAAAGCAATAAATAAATAATCAACCTCCACCACAACAGAGCTCTGCAACACCAGCCCAACAATTTAAGGTATCACCTGCAGGTCAGGCACCTCTGCTACTGTGTATTAACATCAGTTTTCAGATACTAAGTCTAAAGTGGTTTTACCACCTGTGCTACATACATGGCTCAGGACAGACCTTAGCATATCCACACTGCAGCGATCCAAGGCACATCAACTGGAGGACAGTAAGCTATGCAACTCATCATCCCCTGGAAATGCACGTGCATAGAAAGTAAAAGCAAAAGAAGGTTTATTTTCTAAGACAGCATGACACCTCCTTTCTGTTGAGTTTAAGTGATTAAGCTTACAAAAACATTTTCTTCTTTCTATGACTTGCATGGAGACACTCCAAAAGGAAAGTGTGAACCCAAGCTGCCAGATGCAGGTAACTGTAGGCTGCACACCACCAATTAAAGTCTGCCTGGAAATGTACTGAAGTCAATGACAGGAAATGGACTCATTCATAGATCTTTTCAGTTAGCCTTTCTCATTTATAGCTTACTTCTCACTCTGAATTTAGGTCCAACTCACCCCAGGTCTGTAACAGAGCTAAAAACTTTATATTTACCATCAACAGGTAATCTAAAATCAATCCTAATCCCAACCATACATTTTGTAGTGACAGTTTTAACTTGCCAGGGTCTCTGTCCCTATGCACCTATTTCCATGCACAGAAATGCAGCTATCAGTGTTTAATGACACCAGTGAAGTATATAGTAAACAAAGTCTGACAGATGGTCAGTTCTGGTGGAGCTACACCTGACTGAAAGAGGATCTTGTATCACACATGAGATCAAAACAGGCACAGAACATGCTGTAAGTCATAAAAGCAGTAGAAGACCTGATTCCCTAATTAGAGCCCCAACTCATCAAGAAACAAACAAAACCCCTAAAGACCCGTTTTCTTAACTCCTGAAATCAGATCAAATTCCTTAACTCCTGACCACTAAGAATTTAAATGAAAATTGAGGTTTCAAACTGAAAAACAAACACACACACAAGAAGTCCCTTTGGCCAACAATTTATTAGCTGTAAATAACACTTCCCCTCTCCCCCCCCAATGTATTAAGGCAAATAGGCTCCTGATGACACGAATATGCCCATTAAATTACTTATTTGTTCCTAAGGAACGCAGATTTTTGCAGACACTTCAGGATCACCATCTCCCTGTTTCACACTAACATTACAGCAGAGTATGCTATTTTGTGGCTTAACCAGGAAGAAGAACCCAAAAGAAGGGCAGCAAAACTTAATTCAGAGTGAAGTCATCAATTGATGGGAGAACCATAAAACTACAGGATTACACAAAGAGAAACTCCAGTGAAAAAGAGACAACTTTCTCTTAACCTACTACACAGCAAAGTTTCAATTCAAGGAAAACCCAGGAACGAACACACATTTCTCACCAAGTAGTTACTGAAATGCTGTTCCACAGATCAGCTCCCAAAAGGATTAAATTTTATGTATGACAAAGCTTCCAGTTACACAAACACAGAGTGACCATTCCAGAAGCAAGACAGACAAAGCTGATTATCAATAAGGCTATTTTTGAGTACTAAATC